GAACTCCTGAGCTCAAACAATCCGCCCGCCTCGGCCTCCCAGAGAGCTTGATTTCTTGAATATTATGTTCTAGGTGGATGTGGAGGAGATGAGGGGATGTGAAGGAAAAAGGTTAAACCTGTATGTTTCATCTAATCCCTTCTCTCAACCCCTTTCTCTTCCAGGAATAGTCAACCCCGGATGGCCTAAGGGGCAGGGGGACCCCGACGTCCATGGCAGCCTCCAACTATCCCCCTTCCTCCTTTGAAGGACCCTATGGGGTCCATAAAGAAGGGGCAGGGATGCTCTCACTCACCCCATGTCCCAGCATCCACATTGCTCTCTGATGGTCAGAACAGAGCCTTCTGAGGGTGACCAGCTTGCCTGGGGCCAGTGAGGGTCTGCTCTTGGCTGTGAGGCACACTTTCAGGGAGCGGAGCAGGACTTGTCCTCGCAGAGCCCAGAAAATGAACCAGTATGAACTGTCTCCAAGCAGCAGAACTTCTGCTCCCCAACCCCTGATAGGCTGTCTGGTTATTGCTTTACAGACAATTGTTCCAGTTCAATATGAGACAAGAATGGCCTGTGGGCTGGTCAAAGGTCATGCCTACTCGGTCACTGGGCTGGAAGAGGTGAGTCTGGTGGGGCTTGGTGGGGCATGGGGACCTACCTGGGTTAACCTCCTGAAGTCAGGGCTTAGCATTTTGGCCACCTTTACCATCTGCAGAGATCACTTCTAATCAGGGGATTCAGCTCAAGGTCCAAGCCAAGCACCTGGGAGTGGGGAGCTTGTGGAAACTGGGAGAGGTGGATCTTGCCACAGGTGGTGCTCCGTTTATCTTTGCTTTTAGTGCTGAAGATAGCAATTTCCCCAACGTTTCCATGGAACAAATAGAAATACCACTTTGGTTTTACAAAGTCAGTCTCATGTGTTCCTGAGTTTCCTGTTTTCTCATGTTCAAACGGTTCCAGGGCTCCCATAGACACCAAAATCTGTAGATGCTCAAGTCCTTCTATAAAATGGCCCAGTACTTGCATATAACCTACGCACATCCTCCCACCTACTTTAAATCATCTCTGTATTACCTGTAATACTCAATACAATGTAAATGCTATATAAATAGTTGTTATACTGTATTGGGGGGTATATTTTTTCAAATATTTTTGATCTGCTGTTGGTTGAATCTGTGTATTACACAGAGCTCGTGGATGCTGAAGGGCCAGCTGTATAATGTTTGGCTCCTTCTGGGACTTTTGGGCTTTCCCGGTTCCCATGAGAGACAGGAACCTTATCAGGGCTGTTGCACACAGTTGGGCAGATTGTGCCCTGAACAAAGAGAGGGGCAGTTGTCTGCATTAGCCCACTGCAGCAGACTGGAGAAAGGGGCCCCTTTTTCTAATTGGTCCATCTAGAGAAGGCATTTGTCTGTAGTTCCTCAGGCAGCAGGGGCCTCTTTTCTGATTCACACAAAGACCCCTAATGTGCCAGCAGAGCCCTACTGTATATGCCCTGCCTCCTCCCCCAAAGCTCATAATGGCCAGGATGTTCTCTGGGAAAATCACTTCTTAGAAGATGGCAAGGGGATGGCTAAGCCCTAACTCCTGCAGACTCAGTTGTGACCCCTCCACCGCCATTCCACAGCACGCTTCTGATTAGTCCTCTTGGCCAGGGCCGCAGAACAGCCCCCCATAAGGGACTCTCTCCCCACCCGCCTCCCAGCCCTCAGGGCAAGACAGAAGATTCCCTTTCCAGACAGGCTCCAGAACATGAGAGCTTTTTCTCTTTGCCCAAGACCCTGTTCAAAGATGAGAAAGTGAAGCTGGTGCGGCTGCGGAACCCCTGGGGCCAGGTGGAGTGGAACGGCTCTTGGAGTGACGGGTAGGTGAGGAGGCCCCACGGGCGGGGGCAACAGGGCCTGGACAAGGCTGGTTTGGGCACCGAGTCATGAGAGTATGACAAATGCTTGGTGTAAAATCATCCTCAAAACCAGTGATCTTCAGAGAAGAGGGGCACAGGTGTTGGCTCCAGGGAAGGGCTGGGCGAGGAGCCAGGGGGCTGGGAACCCAGAGAGGTTGCTGATGTCTTTTGGCTGGAAAGGAAGATTCCAGAAAGCATGGGGTAGGCCCAGGCAGGAGCAGAGTCTTAATGCAGGGGTCTGGGCTGGACAACTGGCTTCCCTTCTTGGAGTCTCTGCTGCCTTATCTGTAAAATGGGAAGAATATCACCACTTAAACCTCGTGGGCTGTTACGAGGAGTGAATGTGATCCTTGTTGGAAAGTACTTATCCGTTGCTAAGATCACCTCTCCCTTGCTGTCCCATACAAAGGCACCCAAGCCCTTTGAAAGAATTTTCCTGCTTATCACTGAAAGGAATAGACTGGGGACAACCAAGATCACAAACACGCAGAAGTTATCATGAAGGCTCAGAACATTTACAAAACCTCTGTAGTCCCACTGCGTCACTGGTTCCCGATCACTCCAGTGAATGGTAGCCAGCCCCTTGAGCGCCTCTTTTATTATAGGAGGGGGCTGGCCGGGCTCAGCAGCCGACAAGGACCACGCCCAGGCTGTGTGGGCCCTGCAGCTCCTGTGCTCACGTACCTCTACCTACCTCTCTCCCAGTGCACTGTGAGTTCTGGCTCATTCATTCGTTCATTCATTTGGAAAGTGTTTATTGAGCACCTTCTAAATAGGAGGCCCAGGTCTAGGCACTGGGGATGTTGTGGGAACAAGCAGCCCCCCTGGGTAGACAGTGATAAGGTGCTGACCCTGTGTCCTCACCACTCCTGTGGACACTCCCATGCATCCCTTCACTTATCCGCGTGCTCGTCCTCCCCCAGTGCTGACTGCGTGCCAGGCCCCAGGCTACTGTCTGGTAGTAGAAACGAACACTGACACACAGGCCCTGCCCCTGTGGAGGTAAGGTCCAGTGGGAAGACAGACAGACACACACTAATAACTGAGATAAATGCCGTGGTAAGGATCACAAAGAGGAAGCCCCTCGCTAGTTTGGTCGGGTAAGAAGTGTAGAAAAAGCTTACCTGGATGGAGTAATGTTGGAACTGCACTCTCTGCTTTGGTACGGGCCTCAGTGCCCCATCTGTTGTCCGCTCTGCTGGTTCCAGTGGCCAGCAGGGACCCTGCTGTGTTCTCCATCCTCAGAGCTTAGGGCCCAGCCTTAGCCACTTCCTGCTGATGCCTCATTGCGGGAGCAGCTGACGAGCGCAACCCTTGGTCACTCAAGGAGACGCCCCGCCATGTCTCTCCTTCTGGTCTCAGGAGTCTCCATTGCCCCTCCAGTGCTCCCTGACTCTAAGCACTTCCTCAACGCCTTACCTTCCCCGAGACAACCCAGTTTAGTTTACTTCTCCTCAGTGAGCCTGAAGCACAAATGCGCTTTATTTTCTCCCTCTTGAGGAGAGCAAGTGTGTAAAACTGCTCAGCCTTTAGAAACACGATGCGAGGCTGTTTCCTGGAAGGAGAAAAGAGATGTTTACATGCTTGGTCTTTTTCTTGGTAACTCGGACAATCTCTTACCATATGACAGGCATCACACTAATAGCTTTGCAGGCGCTATTTCATCTACTCGTCACAGCCCTGTAAGTGATAGGATCATTCCTCTTTTGCAGTTGAGGAAACAGGACGTGACAGAGGTTAAGTGACTCGCCCATGGTTACATAGCTAGTACTATTATCAAACGGGGATTCCAGTTGCCTATTTCCAGAGTTCAACTCTTGATCTTGAAAGTGTGAGGAGCCGGGTCAAGCCCTGATAAACCTATTTAAGGGGTTTCGTCTTAATCCTGAGGATGGTGGGAAGCGATTACTACTGGGTTTTACACTGAGGGTAACAGATCAGATCCGCATTTTGATGGTTCGCGCTGGCTGCAGTTCTTCGTATTTCTCTGATACCTCCTTTCCCAACCTACCTCAAGCCTTCCCTTCTTCCTCCTTCCTTAATTCCTCCATTTTCTCACCAGTTGGAAGGACTGGAGCTTTGTGGACAAAGATGAGAAGGCCCGTCTGCAGCACCAGGTCACTGAGGATGGAGAGTTCTGGTGAGTCCAGAACCCAGGAGGACCCAGAAGGGTAAGGGATGGGGCAGAGAGGTGAAATCCCAGACCTCAATCCCCAGACAGACCTATCAGATTCCAGCCCTTAGGAGATCTGAGCCCTGTTCCCCTCCAGACCAAGGCCTAGCAAGGATGGGGCTCTGAGAGGAGCCCCCCTGGTTGCAGTGATGACTGAGCCAAGACCAGGCCAGCATAATGTGGCTCTTGCCTCCCCTGGGCCCCTCCACCACACTCTGTTCCAGCCACACTTGCTCCCTGGCCCAATACCACTCTTTTCTGAGCCTGGGAAGCTTCACTCCTCCCGATCTCCCAATGCCAACCTCACCCTCATGCAGATCATTTCTACTCAGCCTTCAAGTCTCAGCTGAAAGGGAGCTCTCTTGAGGACCCCCTAAGTTCCCCCAGGACTGACATCAATTTATTTATAACACCCATCACCCTTAAAATGGCTTGCCCAATTTTCTGTCCTTTGTCCAACTCTATCCTTTTCCCTAGCATTGTGTCTGGTGCAGTGTGGGACACACCATAACTTTTTGGAGAACTGAATTTCTGTTGAGCTTTCCCATCAAGGACACATGCATTTGAGATTTTTTTTACAGATTTGTGTACTTTATTATACATAAGTTATACTTCAATATTTTTAAAAGGAAAAATATGTAAATAGTGAATGGATAGGAACAAAAAATGAAAATGGGTTTTATGGATTTCTAGTTTTTTGTAACCATGTTATTTGTATTCCAATTATAATAAATAAGAATCCTAGAAAGCGTTTAAGTATGTTAGTTAAGAAAGTTATGTTAGATTTATAAATCGAATTTCACAAACGGCATGGAATCAAAACATCAGGACAATTTCTGAGTCTTTAGTTGTCGTCGTCTTCACATTCCTTCATCTTCTGCAGCATGACACATATTATATATTTAGAATATAAGTTTGGGAATAAACTAACAGGTAAATGTGTAACAGAGATTTCCTCATTACAAGCACATTTGAGTTTTCTGAAATCAATGATGATAATATAGCTTAAGCAGTAGAATTTTTGAGAGCAGTCACTTAGAAAACAAGATACATAGGCGTGGTGGTGCCTGTAGTCTCAGCTACTCAGGAGGCTGAGGAAGGAGGATCACTAGAGTCCAGGAGTTTGAGTCTAGCCTGGGCAACATAGCAAGACCCCTAACTCTAAAAAAAAAAGAAGAAGAAAGAAAGAAAATGAGATACATGCCTCATGGCCGATATGTTAAAAAAATGTTCCCTTTTTCTTAGCTCCTTTTGGGAAAATAAGGGTTTTTCTATATCTGTTTGACACTGTGGCAGACAGTAAATATATTGGTACCATACTGAGGGAAGGGTGGGTTTTTTTTTTTTTTTTGAGACAGAGTCTCGCTCTGTAGCCCTGGCTAGAGTGAGTGCCGTGGCATCAGCCTAGCTCACAGCAACCTCAAACTCCTGGGCTCAAGCGATCCTACTGCCTCAGCCTCCCGAGTAGCTGGGACTACAGGCATGTGCCACCATGCCTGGCTAATTTTTTCTACATATTTTTAGTTGTCCAGATAATTTCTTTCTATTTTTTTTAGTAGAGACGGGGTCTCGCTCTTGCTCAGGCTGGTCTCGAACTCCTGAGCTCAAACAATCCGCCCACCTCGGCCTCCCAGAGTGCTAGGATTACAGGCGTGAGCCACCGCGCCTGGCCCTTTTGTATTTTTTATTGATATATCATAATTGTATATATCGTGGGGTACATGTGCTATTTTGATACATGTATACAATGCGTAATGATGAAATCAGGGTACTTGGGATATCTATCAGCTCAAACATTTATCTTTCCTTTGTATTGGGAACATTACAATTCTTCCCTTCCAGCTATTTTGAAATATACAATAAATTATTGTTAATTATAATTTCCCTACTGTACTATGGGATCCTAGAACTCATTTCCTCTATCTAACTATAGTTTTATACGCATTAACCAACTTTTCTTCATCCTGCCCCTTCCCCCTTCCATCCCCAGCTTCTGGTAACCACCATTCTACTCTATTTCCACGAGATCCACTTTTTTAGCTCCCATATATGAATGAGAACATGCGATATTTGTCTTTCTGTACCTGGTTTGTTTTTGAGCCATTATTGAAGAGATGATAGTTTGGTATAAAGACATCAGAAGTGGCAGTATTTACCCTAAAAAGGAAGGACAGGATCCTCTCTCTGGAACTTTGACCAAGTTCCTTTGAACTATTTTATTGTGCTGTGTTAGCCTGCAGTCTCCCTTTTCCAGCCTCTCTCCACCTGCTACCATATTGGTCTCTTTCTTCTTCCAACCCCTCAGGATGTCATATGACGATTTCATCTACCATTTTACAAAGCTGGAGATCTGCAACCTCACAGCCGATGCTCTGGAGTCTGACAAACTTCAGACCTGGACAGTGTCTGTGAACGAGGGCCGCTGGGTGAGGGGCTGCTCTGCCGGAGGCTGCCGCAACTTCCCAGGTGGGAGACACTCTTGATGGGGGAAGGGTCCAAGCAGAACAAGTTCCAGGTGGAATAATATTAACTATCACTTACTGAGTCTTTACTATGTTCCAGAAATCCATTCATTAAACCCTCTGCATTTTACCTACCATGCTGAGGAGTTTGCAATAGGGAGCTGTTTAAAAGTTTGCAAACTTTAAACAGGAAACTGTCAGAGCAACACAGATGCTCCTAGACTTATGATGGGGTTATGTCCTGATAGACTCATCATAAATTGAAAATATCGTAAGTAAAAATTCATTTAGGGGGTGAGGGATCAAAAATTACCCATAGGGTACGATATATACTATTCGGGTGATGGGTACACTAAAAGCCCAGACCTCACCACTACTCAGTTCATCCATGTAACAAAAAACCACTGTGACCCCTAAATCTATTGAAATTTTAAAAAAAGAAAATGTAGGCCGGGCATGGTGGCTCACGCCTGTAATCCTAGCATTATGGGAGGCCGAGGCGGAAGGATCGCTCAAGGTCAGGAGTTCAAGACCAGCCTGAGCAAGAGCGAGACCCCATCTCTACTAAAAATAGAAAGAAATTAGCTGGACAACTAAAAATATATAGAAAAAATTAGCCGGGCATGGTGGCGCATGCCTGTAGTCCCAGCTTCTTGGGAGGCTGAGGCAGAAAGATCGCTTGAGCCCAGGAGTTTGAGGTTGCTGTGAGCTAGCCTGATGCCACAGCACTCTAGCCCAGGCAAGAGAGCAAGACTCTGTCTCAAAATAAAATAAAATAAAATAACAAAAAAATTTTTTAAAAAGCAAAAAAAGAAAATGTATTTAATATACCTAACCTACAGAATATCATAGCTTAGCCTAGCCTACCTTAAATATGCTCAGAACATTTACATTAGCCTACAGTTGGGCAAGATCATCTAACACAAAGCCTATATTATAAAAAGTATTGAGTATCTCATGTAATTTATTGAACACTGTACTAAAAGTGAAAAACAGAATGGATGTATGGGCATTTGAAGTACAGTTTCTACTGAATGCATATCACTTTTGCATCACTATAAAGTTGAAAAATCACAGTTGAGCTATCGTAAACTGGGGACTGTCTGTACTATGTCAGTAATGTTGAGGATGGTACTGAGAACTGAGTTAGTAGCTACTGCAGTAGTTTAAGTCAGAGATGATGGAAGCCGAGACCAAGCAATAGCCGCAGAGATGAAGGGGGAGAAGGAGGATTTAGGAGAGAGCGTATTGAGTAATGTGGGGAAGGAAGAATGAAGAATGACGTCAAGAATCCCAGTTTGGGTGCCTGAGTGGATGGTGTCAACAATGCAGTATAAGACACACAAGAGAAAAATAACCAGCATATTTTTTGTTGTTGGTGGGGTTGGTTGTGAGGTTATAGGGAAAGGAGTTTAGCTTGGGGCATGGAAAGTTTGAGGTACTATAGAATATCCAGGTCAAGATCTGTAATGGAGAACCGGATGCACATGGGAGATAGAATTTGATTATATGCTAAGAACTCAAAAAGTATTTGAGGAATAAAGGAAGGCAGGAAGGAAGGCAGGAAGGAAGGAAGAAAGAAGGGAGGGAGTCAGAAGAGAGGCTAAGGCTGGGATATATAGCTCAGGTGTCATTAGCATATAGGGGCAGTTAAAATGTGGAAGCAGCAAGATTGCTCAGGGAGGCAGGACAGCTGGGGTGAAAGGAGAAGAGGCCTAGGAGCAGATCCCAGGGGCCAGCAACACTTACGGGGCCAGTAAGGCAAGTAAAACCATCAAGCAAAGACTCAGAATGAAAGTTCGGAGAGGAAGGAGGAACCACACATCCAGTCAGTGCAGCTCCGTCAGTATAAAGGTAGAGGCTCCTCCCCCAAATATTAATAATTAGACAAATCGTGTTTCCCATTAATATTTATTGAACATCTAGATTCAGGGATAGAGATAAATAGGTTCCCTCTGTCCCATTTCCCTTCCTGCCCTTTCTCTGAGAGGCAGACCTGAAAGTGCGTTTCCTTTCTGGGGGGTGCAGACACTTTCTGGACCAACCCGCAGTACCGTCTGAAGCTCCTAGAGGAGGACGACGACCCAGATGACTCTGAGGTGATCTGCAGCTTCCTGGTGGCCCTGATGCAGAAGAACCGGCGGAAGGACCGGAAGCTGGGGGCCAACCTCTTCACCATCGGCTTCGCCATCTATGAGGTGCGGGTCCCTGACAAGCTCCAGCCCAGGAAACACATGCCTTCCCAGCCAGAAGGCTTTGGGGGCTTCCAGAGGAATCTTCTAGCTTTTCTGATACTCAGTGACCCCCAGAGCTCCTGGGATCGGCCCACTTGTGTTTGTGACAAGCAAAAAATACCAGGGTGGGTGGTGGAGTGGAGCCAGGCCCAGCACGGCGGGCACACGGGGAGTCCGGCTTTTGCATTCAGTGCGCAATCGCCGGCATTCCCTTCTGCAAGCTTTGCATCCTCATTCAGATCTGAAGCACCTTCTTTTTCTGTTTCTCCTCAAGGTTCCCAAAGAGGTATAGCAGTGGCAGTGGCCAGCAGTGTGTACAGCGTTTCCTGTCCTCAGTCTGTGGCTCATCAAGAAGCTTCCTGGTGGGGTTTGTGGGCAGGACTATGACAGGAGAGGGCCTTGCCCACGTTATTTCTACTGCAGAGCAGACGCCCCGGGGTATCGCATGACCCGTGACAGCCACCCCATGGTGTGTGTTTTCTCCCTTGCACCAGCCACTGCCTGTCACACGCCTTCACACGCTCATAGTTACGCACTCACACAGTCACACACACATGTTCTGAGGGTGGCTGCCCTCCTTGGGATGGAGGAATCACTTCCTTCAGAACCCAGCTAAAGCCCCTTGACCTTCCTGGGGTTCCGGCCTGAGGGGATTCAGAGCTGAGGAGCAGCAGTTCTGGTAAGTGGCCCTGAGTGTGGGGACGATAGACTGGCCCTTCACTCCTGAGTCACAGCAGAAAAGGAAGAGGAAGCGAGGTAGGGATGTTGAGCTATTTGAGGCCTTGGGAATTGGAGGTAGGTAGGTTGAGACTGTGAAATGGGTGACCAGGAAGTTGGGAAGGGACTCCTGGAGGGGACTGTAAGCAGGACAGCGCATGCCTCCCCAGGGGCTCAGGTCTCATGCCCTCTTCTGTCCTCCAGATGCACGGGAACAAGCAGCACCTGCAGAAGGACTTCTTCCTGTACAACGCCTCCAAGGCCAGGAGCAAAACCTACATCAACATGCGGGAGGTGTCCCAGCGCTTCCGCCTGCCCCCCAGCGAGTATGTCATCGTGCCCTCCACCTACGAGCCCCACCAGGAGGGGGAATTCATCCTCCGGGTCTTCTCTGAAAAGAGAAACCTCTCTGAGTGAGTACTCGTCAGTCCCTAGAAGCTCTCGTGGCCCTTCCAGAGACCAAAGGTGTGGGACAGCTGGACTTTCAGGGATCCCGGGATATGTTGACCTGCTGCACTTCTTCCCCAGCTCCTGAGCATTGGCAACATCACCCCCACTCATTCACGTATTTGTTAATCCTGCAGATATTTATTGAGCACCTATTTATTCCAGACACTCTTCTCGGTGCTGGAGACAGAGCTGTAAATTAAACAGAAAGAAATCCTTGCCCTCATGGAACTTAACATTCTAGCATAAGGCAACAATGGATGGGAAAAAATATATATAGTACGTTAGATTTGGAAAAGTGATTATGAGCAAAAATAAAGTAGGGAAGAAGGATCAGAGGTGTTGGGGTGATTGAGATTAGGTTAGCATGGCTAGGGAAGCCAGCAAGGCCACCACAGAGGGGTACATAGCCCCTGCCACTCTGATCTCTGTCCTCGGAAGAAGCACAAGGCCATGGGTAGGGGGCTGGGTCATGCCTTTGAGGAGATCTGGGCAATGCCCACAAGAACCCGTGTGCCAGGGCTTGCTAATGGGGATCGTGCCTACACGGGGCCGGTTTCTGGGGGTCTCTTGAGGCTAGTCCTGATGTGGCTGCCAAGACATGTAACCCGAGCAAATCCTCCAAGTGCTTCCCACTTGCTCCTGGTGACAGAGACCCCCACATGTTTGTGTTCTTCACAGGGAAGCTGAAAACACAATCTCCGTGGATCGGCCAGTGGTGAGTGATTTTAGCTCTCATGTGTGAAAAGGCCCAGAGGGTCACGCTCCCTGATCCATGCGGGGGACAGGTGGTGGTGTGGGGGAGAGTGGGAGTCTGGGCGTGCAGAGCAACTGCTGCATGTTACTGCAACTTCCGCTTGGCGTGGCCAGAAGTGAGGGGCCTTACGGTCCTGGGGCCATTTAGTCAGTTCGGGGGCTGGGAAGCATGGAAGAGGGTTCTAGAAGGGAGAAGCAGTTCCAATAATTAGAGGGAGAGAACAAGACTACTGGAGGGGATGACAAGAATGGCAGCTAACGTGGGATTGAGGTTGGACAGTGTTGGATTTCTCACACAGAGAAGAGTACGTATACCAGTCTGCACTCAGTGTCAAGACCTGGATCCTCCTCCCAACTTCTGGGTGACCTGGACAATTTATATAATCCCTCTGACTCACTTCCCTACTCTGTAAAATGAGGATAATAACAATGTGCCCTGCCAGGCTTTTATGAGGTTTAAATCCATGCAATCATGTATGGGAAGTTTCTGGCACAGCATGAGCGCTCACATGGAGGTTACTTCTCACGTGCTTTACATACTTTTCATATGTATTATCTCACTTGATCCTTGCAAGGTTTCTGAGAAGTAAATGAGGTTATAATCCCTGGTTTTCAAGCAAGGGAGCAGAGGCTCAGTGGGGTTAAATGACTTCCCTGAGTTCACAGAGCTTGTAAGTGGCAGGGCTGGAAGTCACACCCAGACCCTCTGACTCCAGACTTAGGTCCCCCACCTCCACGCCGAGGCCATCAGCCTCCAAAGGTGAGAAGCCCAAAGTCAAAAGCACAGAGTTGGTGTGTGTTGGCGTCTCTGTATCGAGGAGTCTTGTGACTGCCTTGGGACTTTGGGCTCTGGTTAATGAACAGTCCCTTGTGCTCTGTGGGTGAGACCTGGGCCAATGGGAAGACAAATGCCCCACTGAACTGTCTTCCGCGTAGTGACAGTCATGATCATAATCCTGACCCCGTGCCAGTGCCAGATCTCCAAGTGCCTCTGGATCATCACAAATGTTTGGTTTTAGCATTACATGCATTCTGGTCTATTCCTATCTTTTGGACACTGGTAACCAGTGTACAGTATTTACCAGGAACTGCACATTCAGAAGCCTATGGGAGCTTGCAGGTCAACTCACTAAGTAGAGCAGGCAGGTGTAGGGGTTTTGGTGTCCCTGCACTGGCATATTTGTCCGCAGTTCTCAACTGACACTGACACTTGGCTCCACTGTCGGAGAGACAACTGGAATGGTAGAGACTGTGGCAACCTGGAGGACGCAGACAGCAGCCGCTCTCAGCTCAGCTCTTGTTGCCCCAGGAGATTACAGGCCAATGTAGCCTGCTAGACTTTCTCATTTTTCAAAAGAAGCCTGAAACCTGGATTTCCATATTAGATCGCCCTATGTTGAATGTTTATCCCCCAAATTTAAAATTTATAAATCAAAATTCATTTGCAGGCCAGTTTCAGTGAGCCACATTTTTTGGTGTTTTAGTAACTAATTTCACTAAAAAACAAACTCAAACAAAAACGTTAGCCAGAAGATCATTTTCCTTGACTATGTCCGATAACAGTGGATTATAAAAACGAAGCCATAGCAGTCGCCAGTCTCTGGGCATGGAGGTGGAAGAGGAAAGAATTCTCTCCTCCCTCCCCCTCCGTGCCCCTTTTTGGCTCTATGTGATTCAGATTTCTGGACCCTGGAACCTCACCCCAAGCTAAGGACCAGGACCCAGGGAAGCCAAAAGCCACTGGCTGTTCTGGGAACTTGCTTTTCACTTATTCTGCATTTACTGTTTCCTTTCTTTGCGCAGAAAAAGAAAAAACCCAAGGTGGGTGTAATAGAATGAGAAGGTAGAGATAATAGCATATTTGTGCACATGCATGTGTGTGCATGTGTGCACGTGTCCACATGTGTGTGAGCTCACGTGTGTGCATGCACCAGACTTGCCTCTTCCTCCCCCTCCTCCCCTGAGCTCCTGCTGGGGCTGTGAGTGTGCGACTGTGAGAGCTGATACTTGCTGGGGGAAGCCTGTGTGCTGGGCACTCTTCTGGGTGCTTTCCAGGGATTAATAACTCAATCCTCACAACAACCCTACGAGGTTGGTACTATAATTATCCCCATTTCCATAGGGAAAGCAGAGATAGATCGACTATCATGCCCAAGGCCACACAGCCAGGAAGTGGCAGAGCCAGCACTTGGAGCCAGGCAGTCTGGCTCTGACCCACAACAGGCCATCAGACAAGGATAGATGCTAGTGTTCATGGTGGTGCCTGGAGGATCCGTCACAGGGGTCCCCCAAGTATTGGTGCTGGCCTCAACCGGAGCGGACACTCACCAAGCACCTACCACATCGCAGGCACTGTGTTGGGGGAAAACTTTTCTTTCAGTTATAATAGTGTCTACAAGGTAGGTGCTATTATTTTTCCCCTTTTACAGGTGAGGGTACAGACTCAGAGAAGTGAAGGGACTTGCCCAAGGACACACAACTAATGAGCAGGAAAAATGCAACTGGAAACCATATCTGTCTACTCCAAAACCTGTGTTTCTTGCCCTTCCCTCTCTGGTGCCGGCCTCCTGCACTCCAAGGCCGGTGTTGTCCAGACCTGCACTTGGGCCCAGAGATGTGTACCTGGCGGGAAGCTCCATGGCCACACCATGTCCACTGGCACACATCCCCCCAGACTGTGACCTCCACTTGCTCTGGGACCCCTACAAGCTTCAGCTGCTTGAAAAAGACCCTTTGCTTAGAAGGCGGAGCAAGCCAGGGCCCCTGCAGCCTGCTGGGAGCCAAAGCTGCCGGAGCTGTTCTCACAGGTCTGTCCGCTAGAGCTGTCCTAGACTAACAGCATGGAAAGGCAGATGGGCACCGAGACCAGCCAGGCTGCTTTTCTGCTCTGAGAGGCTCTGCCCGTCCCACTGCTCTCTGCGCCGCTGCCCCAACCCCCTCAGCCTGGCCTCCCCTGGCTTTCCCTGCAGGTGCACAGCACCCACCAGTGTTGGCATCACATGGCAGCCACTCTCCACCTTTTTTATATCTTCTTCACTGGCATGAGCTTGTCTTGAAAATCTCTCTTAAATTTGTATAACATCTTAAATGTTTTTGCAGTACAATTTTACATTATCTCATTTGATCCCCACAAGAGCACCATGAGGAAGGAAAAGCAGGTTTTACCACCCCCATTAAAGGATGAATAAACTGAGGCCAGAGAGACTATTTCTAACATGAGGGGCAGGGCTGGGATTCCAGCCCCGTGTTCTGACCTCTCACCCATTGACCACACCACTGATCGTGTCTTCTTTCAATCTGTACTTTGCAGTCTCCTAGAGGTTCCTTGGAGGTGCCTCAGTAGCCGCCCTGGTGATGTGGGTGCTGAGGGGAAAGAGCTCTGCCCTCATTAATCAGAGAGGCTCTGGTTTTTGTTTGGGTTTTTTTTTGTTGTTGTTATTTTTGAGACAGAGTCTCGCTCTGTCACCTGTACTAGAGTGCCATGGCGTCATCATAGCTCACAGCAACCTCAAACTCCTGAGCTCAAGCGATCCTCCTGCCTTGGCCTCCCAGAGTGCTAGGATTACAGGCGTGAGCCACCACGCCCAGCCTAGAGAAGCTCTGTTTTGAATGGCTTTATGTACACGAGGTTTCTGGGGAAATTTAATTTACAGTCTATGGAAAAAAAGTCTAGGAAATCCTTGGAAATCACTGCACTAGGTCAGGCTGCTTTTAGCATTCTTGGCATTTGCACATGTACTACCTTGTTGAACCCTCCTAACTCTATGAGGAGAGATGGAGTGGGTATTAAAAGAAAGAGCTGAGGTCCAGAGAGGCTTAGCATCTTTCCTCAAGTCACACAGCTTGTTAGTGGCAGAGATGAAGCTTGACCTGAGGTTCAAGAGCTCTTGACTCTAATCTTTTCCTCTCCTCACTGGACAAGGCTGCTCTGGGGGAGATGCTGCCTCACTGGGCCTGCTCAGTCTGTAACCCTTGCTTCCTTCCTGCCCCCCTCCCCACCTTCCTCCTCTCCCCAGCCCATCATCTTCGTTTCAGACAGAGCAAACAGCAACAAGGAGCTGGGTGTGGACCAGGAGTCAGAGGAGGGCAAAGACAAAACAAGCCCTGATAAGCAACAGAGATCCCCACAGGTGTCTGAGCACGTGGCATGAATGGTGTGGCCAGCGCACAGCAGGGGTCTTCCTATGTGCTCGGGGTACATGGGGGCTGAAGGGTTTCCCGGGGGTGTTTCTAACATCTAGAGGTTTGGATTTGTCCCACAGACTTTTTTTTCTCTGTAAGTTCCCCTAAAATTTGGGATGCTGCTTGGGTGAATGTCTTGGGGTTGGCTGCCACAGCAAACCAGTCCCAGGATTGGAATGACAGGCTGAGCCTCTCCCTCGTGCTCATCCAACCAGGACAGCGAGCGATGGGGGAGGCAAAGGCTGAGATGATACCAGCTTGAGAGCGGAGACCGAACAACTCCCGTCTCCTGGTGGCCTCCAGCTCTTGCCCAAGGGAGACAAAGAAGAGTAGCAGAAATGTGGGCAGACTGCATGGGCCTTCAGAACGCAGGGGAGGGTGCTCGAGTAGGGAGAGATGGTTATACAAAGCGTAGTGGAGGTGAGGCTTTGGGGCCAAAGGCCCCAGACAAACCCAGGCCACCTCCTCCATCCTGGAGCACTTGTGCAGTGGAGTGGGGAAGGGGGTCCTCTGAGGACTTGGCCTTGCTGACAAAGGTGGCAGGAGGGATCAGAATGGTCAGACCTTTGACCTACTGGGGCACCTCTGGTTGGAATGATGAGGCCCAAAATAATGGAGAGGGCTCTAGCTGGTGGGGACTGGGGCAAGGGGACCAAGAAGGCTGTCTGCATGTCTGCCTTGGCTTGGGGTGTCAGGGCTGGAGGGGTGTGCAGTGGAGACTCGCCAAGGCCCAGACGCTCCTCACTCCAGCTCACCAGGTCTAAAAAAACCGCACCTGCCCCACCCTCAGCTCCTGCTTCCACCTGTGGCTATTTTAGGCCATTGGTTCCTTTGGTCCAGAAGGAGCTTTCCCCACAGGTCTGCCCATCTCCCCGATTCCTGTGAACCAGTTTTCCTTTGTGCTTCCACAGCCACGGCCTGGCAACGCTGACCAGGAAAGTGAGGACCAGCAGCAATTTCGGAACATTTTCAAGCAGATAGCAGGCGACGTGAGTACCTCCGACCCTAGCACTCGCGCCAGTGCCTGCTCCTTTCCTGGATTTACTTCTCAAATTACCAGTTATTTCGTTATTGTTCAGTAGTGGTCATTTGGATTTCGGTGGAACCGGAGGATATATTGTGTAGCACAGAAATCCACAAGTCCTTGAGTTTGGGACTGCCACATCCACTAGGTGGCTCAGAGGCCTTTATGCTCTGAGCTGCCTGCCAGTCTGGACAGCTGAGGGTGCAGTCTCTGGCCCCATCTTCCTCAGAAAGCCCCAGCTTCCCAGGACAGAACACACCGACAGGGATTTTACAAGCATAGGCAGTTGGGATTTGTTTTGCAAAGCCTCTGCTCCATCAGCTGCTGTACTCTTGAACCATGACTCTCTCCTCCCTTCCTACTCAGGACATGGAGATCTGTGCAGATGAGCTCAAGAATGTCCTTAACACAGTTGTGAACAAACGTGAGTGGCTCAAACAGGATGTTGGGGATGGGCAGGGGGGTCCAGTTGTCTGAAAGCAGCTCCTCACTCTTCTCCATCTTCCCAGATAAAGACCTGAAGTCACAAGGGTTCACACTGGAGTCCTGCCGTAGCATGATTGCTCTCATGGATGTATCCTTCCTGCCACCCCTTCCTGACCCTCTGTCATCAGCCCACTGGGCCAGGGCAAAAATAAGGGGTGTCCAGTCAGGCAGAAGGCCCAACTTTGTGACCAAGGGAAGACTTAAGGAGATACTGATTTAAAACATCTTGGGTGCTGGTCTGAAAGGGGTTATTGTTAGAGGCAGAAGGGAAGGACGCTGGGTTGTCACTGGCCCCTAACCCACGTGCTCATCTCAGGCCTGGGGTCCTGCCCAAGCAAAAGTGGTCCTTAGGAGACAGGCTCCCCGGGGTAGAGAGTAGGCATGATCTTTGGCTTGTGTAAGAGTAGAGGGGAGGGTTGAATACCAGGACAGGGCAGTGGGAAGGAGCCCAGGCAGAGGCTTCCTATGGGGCCACCTTCCCTGAGTCCCCCAGACATCCCCTTCCAATCCAGGGAGATTTTGCTATGTGCCTTGTGGCCTTGACTTCCCTCCTCCAGACAGATGGCTCAGGGAGGCTGAATCTACAAGAGTTCCATCACCTCTGGAAGAAGATTAAGGCTTGGCAGGTGCGAAGAGAATGAAGTGTGAGGAAAGAAAGGGGTTGGTGCAGGGATTCATTCAGTGCGTGACCTCTGTCCTCGAATTTTCTATTGCCAGAAAATTTTCAAACACTATGACACAGACCAATCCGGCACGATTAACAGCTATGAGATGCGGAATGCAGTCAATGATGCAGGTGCTGGGGAGGAAGGGGCTGGCAAGGGTGCGGACCGGAGCTAGTGGAAGCAGGAATGGGAGGGGGGCTAGGCTACCAGGACCCCAGCAGACAAAGGAGACGGAAAGGGTTTCTCATTTTCCTTTCCCAGGTCACAGAGTGGCCAAGAGGCAGGGAAAATAGAACACAGGCCTAAGGACTCCAACTCCACTTCCTCTGCTAACATCTCTCCTCCCACCCCATAGGATTCCACCTCAACAGCCAGCTCTACGACATCATCACCATGCGGTACGCAGACAGGCACATGAACATCGACTTCGACAGTTTCATCTGCTGCTTCATCAGGCTGGAGGGCATGTTCAGTGAGTGGCCGCTGTCCTTCTGCTCTCTTGAGCCCTTCCAGCCCCCTCCCACAGGGACAGCTGTGGCAACAGAAATCTCAGCCTGTTAACCTTCCAGTCCACTCCATCCAGGCTGAACAAAGGCCAACGCCCTCATTAGGCCCAGAGTAGGATGGTGAAGGGTTATTGGTGATACTCTGCCTGCAGCTATTTGGGCTGAAGGACAGCACTCAGCACGTGGTTCTCTTAAGAAAAGTCACAGTAGTGAAGGCAGAGCGAGCCTGTAACTGGCCCCTGGCCTGTGCGTTCTTCCACACAGGAGCTTTCAATGCGTTTGACAAGGATGGAGACGGTATCATCAAACTCAACGTTCTAGAGGTAAAGCCTAACAGACGCAGCACATCCCCCTGCATCTCGAAATTCAAGGTGGAGTGGTCCATGAGGCAGACTGGACCCACGATGTGCTCCTTGCTCCTAAATGCTGGTGGAGGGATGGGACAGGAATGGAACACGAGGAAGGGAACATTAGCCGGGAATGTGGCTCACAGGGCAGATGCATTTGAGGCCCAAAGGGGCCTCAGCTCCCAAAATCACTTTATATTGGAAAATATGTACCTTCCTAGGGAAAATCTGGGAGAAAAGATGCAGTAAACCACTGCTGCTTTGAAAGTCTCCCCAGTGGGTCTGGCATGCTGGGACTGTTCCCTTTCTCCCTGCCCCCTAAGGTCCCTACGGCTGGGGTCTCGTTTTTCTTGTTTACATTCTAATCCTGGGACCTCCTCTTTCAGTGGCTGCAGCTCACCATGTATGCCTGAACCAGGCTGGCCGTGTCCACAGCCACGCGGGATCACTCAGGATTTCAAGTGCACCCAATATAGCTAGAGCCACTTACCTCAAAGGACCCAGCAGCCGCTTCCCAGCAGGCCTCCAGGCACCTCGTCGGTCTTGTTCCTCCTCCACTTTACTCCCTACTTGCTCTTGATCAGTCATGCCCAGCCTGTCCCTTTAGTCCAGCAATGAGGTAGGGAGAACAGTACTGTCCCTTCACCATGTGAAGGAAAGTGTCTGCCTCAGCTAGTTCTAGCCCAAGAGGTTTGGGCTGATCCTGAAGCAAATGCTTCCCCCTTGCCCTGCTCTAGGCTGTTGGCAGAAGCATTTGCCTTCCTTGTGCTGGAAACCTCCATCACCTTTATGCTCTCTCACCCATGAACAGTAACCAAACCAGCACTTGGTCTGCCTGACTGTTTTAGGAGAGGCCTTCCCTGGGTAAACTAACTCAGTGGAATAGGGCTGGATACTTTGGGTTGTCTGACTTGTAAGTCTCATTACATTCTGAAAAAAATGGATCTAAATAAAGGCATGTGTATGGGTGGTTCCACTGTTTTGATTTCTCACATTTAGGTATCAGCCATAGCAGGGCTGAATGGCTTCCAATCATACACTCACCTATCACCTATGGCAAGCCTAGTCTGAGAAAAGAACAATGGAAAACACACATGAGAACAAAACCCCGAACCCCTCTTTAATCATGCCTATGGCTATTTCTTGAGCATAGGAATCACTCAGATTCTTTCCCAGATATAAAAGGAAGAAAGGGGAATAGTTGTTGGTGTACAGAACATCAAGAATAAATGGGTCTCCTAGAACTGGAGGGGCCGGTTACCTGAATGTAATGGAGCAGAGAGGTAGGTTTTAATCCTGGCTCCTCCACCCACTAATTGACCTGCCGTATGACCTTGGACAAGTTCCGGATTGTAGCTGTCTGCCAAACTTGTCTGGACCATGGTCTGCAGCACATCTATCAACATCCGGTGTTTCCCAATTTCCTTCTTGCTCTCTAGGCCAACATGGGAAGGAAAGGGCTGACCATGAACATGAAGACAAGGTAACAAAAGTAAACAGTCAGTTAGTAAAAGTACTTTATTTTCCTCTTTTACTTGCTTTATATCTTGCTTTACAAAGTTATGAAGTTCACAGCTTTATACCAAAATGTAAGAAGGCTATTTGCTTATAAACATTTTTGCAGTCAAGTGTCATCTGACTTCATTCTTCTAATCCATATTCAATATAAAAACAAATTCAGAAACCAAGGGTGCTGGAGCAGCTCTAGGGCATACATTTCTCTTAAACAGGAGAAAGGGCTTCAACAGCCTTTCCTCCTTGACCTCCTCCTCCCCCAATTTATTTGGGTTACCACCTCGAAGTTGGATCAAATCTGGGAAACGTCAGTCACCATGTGACCCGGTAGGGCCACATACTTGGGGCTGGAAGGGAGGAAGTTAGAGGTTACTATCTGGTGAGCAGTAAGTTTGGTTTGGGTGAGCATTTCACAGCCACTTGTGGAACTCAGTATATCCCAAATCACCTCCACTACAGCTTCTATTGCTGCCCATCGGACCACTTCTCTTAAACCCTGAGGATCCTGATGATTTGGGGCAGGGATAAAACCACTACTTTATAAATGTGGCAGGCACGGCCTTCATAATAATTCTAGGAGCTCTCCTTTAGGAACAAAACTTATAAGGAAGCATAAATAAATTGCAGTTACTTGAGCAAACCAGAGAGTACATGCTGTTCAAATCCCCCTTCACGATATACTTCAATCTCCCCTCCAATGAATTCTCTTCCATAAATACACCCTACCACTCCACTAAGTGTATACCTACTCCCACCAAATCATCCACTTGTCTAGTCACTAAAGTTGTCCATTGTATAATCTACCAGAAAAAAGATAAAACAAAACCTTTGTTAGGCAAATAATCACTTAAACAGTAATAACATTGCCTATAAATCATAGGTAGATCAGGACCTAAAACACTCAACTGCTAACCCTTTGAGGGAAAAAAATTTTTCCCATAAAGCAGGAGTGCAGTAGTAAGTAATGACTTCCTCTCAAATTTAAGTAACATCAGGTCAACATCATTCTTTGCTCTTTGAGATTTGTTTACATTGTGTTTAATTGCTTTATAACTGAGTAGAGAGATATGCCAAAATATATTTTGAACGTAATTAACTTTCACATAAAACATGAAGTGACTGATATGAGAACAAACTGCCATTAAAACAGGAGCATATGCACACGGGATTGATACTGTGGTTTCCTTGGCTTTGGGCCATTAGAACAGGCACGAGCAATTAAAAATAACATTCTAAAAATGGCCTCCAACAACTTATAAGAAATGAGTCGGGTTTGTCAGGTCATTTAACAGTTTCCTTTCTTCATTAGGCTACTGAATACCAGAGTCAACACAGACCCCTGCGCCACAGCTCTTCTCTGAGAGGAAGCAGAGGGCTATGATCAGTCACCATGTCGTGGAAGGCTTAACAAATAGCCACAGTTCCACGTAACTCTGAAGACACTTAAAAGTAATAACGCACAGCCATAAGCAGCCAAGATGCTCTTGGTCTCTTCATTTCTCAACAGAGGGCTAGAATGGTTCATTCTGAATAACACACTAATTCAGTGTTAAAAGAATTTTATGTGTTCTTGAAATAGACATTATTGCCACTGCTTTAAAAAAAACTTTGACGAAATGAAGAAAAACATTACAAGCACAGGTACCCACACACACACACACACACACACACACACACACACGAAGGAACTTTCACACATGCACACACAGAGGCCGATATAGGCACACGATTCTACCAAAGCTGAACCCAAATCGCAGTTCTTACTGATTCTATCAGTCTTCACTACTCGCAAAAGTTTCCGATTGCCCAACACCTCACATACCCTTTTCCTGCTCTGCCAAGGCTCCACCACTCTCATCGTCTCAGACACGTCCTCAGGCAGGGCAGGAGGCACCCGGTTCTCATAGCGCACTGCCCAGCCATGTGGAAATGCGGCTTCACTACAGCCCAGAGAAAAATGCCAGTTTTGGCAATAAAACCAAATGTACTTTCCTGGGATATCACCATTCCCAAACCCACACAACAGCTTGGCTTCTCTGGTCACCCTTACAGGAAATGGGGGTGAGAGATGGGGAAAGCTTCCTAATCTCATACAGAAACAGCAGAAATACACTTTATTCAATAAGATCTTCTCTGTTTTCTCTTAAGCATCATGCAAATCTCAACAGTATAATTAATAAAAAAGTTCTCCCACTCACAAGGACAGAAGTAAATAGCTTGTGGGGCCCTTCATTATCTAGTAGTGGCTCCTTGATTAGTTCTTAACATGTTTTGGATCAAGTAAGAACCACTGGAGCCTTTCCTGGAAAAAAGAACACACATTTAGTCTTGTATACAATTTCGGGGGGTTCACAGGCCCTCTCGAAGCCTGTCCATGAACTCGCAGTGAAGTCCCCTGCCCTAGAGCCCGAGGGGAGACACGTGAGCAGATGTGAGCACTGACAGGGGTGGGGATAAACCCGGACGCTCTGCCATCCTAGAAAACGGTGGACACCACATCCCAAAGCTTGGTGTGTGGCACTGGGCTCCTCCCCTTCTCTCTGAAGAATATGAGTTTTGAGGATCCAGAAACAAAAGGTTGGAAAGCAACAGTTCTATAGCTTTACTGACAAGAGTCCAGAGAAAATCCAAAAACAAAGCAGCCCCCCTAGGGCTTTGTTACTTTGGCTGTTCTCAATGGACAGGTAGAGTCTTTCCCTTCACCATACTCCACTCCTCTCTCCTAGCTAGCAGGGAAGTGAAGGCAAAGACACTGTTTTCAGAAATAAGTCTCCAGGAAGCCTGCTTGAGGCCCCCCAAAACTATATTCAGATGCTTTACTCTAACCCCACCCCCATCTTGGGGGCTGCACCCTGTGAGCGCAGAGGATACTTGACGGCTGCCATCAGTCTAGGCACAGCCAGATAGTGGGAGAGATGGAGGCTGGTAACAAAGCAAATCGAAAGAGTTCAAAACCCACATCAGGCTTGGAGAGTCAGAAACTGGAAAGGAAAAAATGGTACACCTCCAGTTCAAACAGCCTGATGGTATCTGCAGCAGCGAATGCCCAGGTTGGCCAGCAACATTTAAAGGCAGATACTAAGTTGATGTGCTGCCTTACACTGAGCATTCCATCAAAACTCGCACAGAGAGGTTTACTAGGAAGTGGTATCCGTAAGGACTTGTCATTCTGTGATTCGCTTTCTGAATTCCTAAAATACAGGCAGCAGAGCAGCCATGCTAGCTGTCTGTGAGAAATCTACCGTGTGTCCTTTAGCATTTAATGCCAGCTCTGTCCATCTACAAAGCAAGAGAATAGTGAAACACACTGTACATAATTATTAGGAAAGGAGACTATTTGCTTCCAAGTTAAATGCCCTGTTATTACAGCTGGAGAAATTAAAACTGATCCCGAAAATCTAGCATTTGAACTTGTACTTAAACGCCTAACTACAGGTTTAAACCATCATAAGAACATAAACTAAAAATAAACTGAAATCAATACAATATATGTATGATTAGGGTCAAACTGAGTAACCAATTAAGATCTGTATCTTTAATAAACATCTGAGAACATAGTAGCATAAATCACTCTATGTCATTGTCTCAGCGGAGTATGGTTCCTCAAAATCTGTTTAAAATCTCCAGCAAGAACTTAAAAGTGTAACTTATCATCCCATAGAGCTGCCCAGACTTATGCTAGTGGTAAGCCTGGCTAATAACCACTTTTTCCTTCCCTGCTTCTCGAGGGAAGAGAAGAGAATGGCCTGTGTGAACGGCCGATGTGAAAATAGCTCAGCTAATGACTTCCCAACATGGGAGGCAAAAAACTTCATGAATCAATTTTGCTGTCATCTTCAGCATGTCGTTCAATGTGTCCTGCAGCATCCTGGGAATAAAGGGAAAAGGGCCCGTGAGAGAAACAGTGGCAGTACAACAGGAGAAAGTCAAAGTTAAGGAAAGCTGTCTGGGTACACTGTATCTAGGATCCAACACATGAAAGGCAGGAGTCAGCAATTTACATGAAACTAATTTACATGAAACTCTGCATTTAAATAAGTTGTTTTCTTAGCACAGAGCATTGTAATAAGCCTCTAGGTTCAGTTACTGGATTTGAAACACCTGAAAACATTCTCATTAGGCTCTTTCCAAAAAACTACCTAATTTTTCATTCGAAGCCTTATTAAGCAATCCCCCAAATCTCTGAATAATAAAAAGAAAAATCCCTAGGCCCTCCCTGTTTCTTGCAATCTGAGCACTTGAATAAAATGAAAAAGGTTTGCTGGCCCTTGCTCTGAGCAGTCTACTGAATCCCAGGTTAACGAGTCCCACTGATATACCTGTTTGGATCCTTTCCTAGCAGTGAAAAAAGCATCACAGTTCTTCCAGCGACACTTCAGAGTTTGAAAGTTTGGATTAGTGTGGTCAGTCAGCAAATGTTGTTTTAAATGATCTACAACACCAAATATCAGAGAGCAGCCATGCCACTGGAAAGAAAGAGAATAAGGGGCCTCGGTTAAAAAAAGTGCAGTAAACATGCCGTCAGAACTTGTGGCCTGGAGTAGTTTGAGACCAGCCTGGACAACATAGCAAGACCCCATCTTTACAAAAAATAAATAAATAAATCAGCCAGATATGGTGGCGCATGTCTGTAGTCTTAGCTACTTGGGAGACTGAGGTAGGAGGATTGCTTGAGCCCCGGAGTTTGAGGCTGTAGTGAGCTATGATCGCACCATTGCACTCTCTAGCCTGGTGACACTGTCTTAAAAAAAAAAAAAAAAAAAGACTCCCTCCGCCCCCAATTTGTATCCTGTAAGTACTGTGGAAGCAAAAGCCCTTTATTTCTTAAATTTATTCTTGGCTAGAAATATAACAAAAGCCAGAAGCAACCAAATTAATTATTAGTATAATGAGGAAACTTGAAAAGACTAAGTCTTTCGACACTTTGGCATTTTAATAAGGCAAAGCTAAGGGTAGCCATCACATCTTGTTAGACGGATAAAAGGTTAACAAATATTTATAGATGAATTACCACAAAATTCAGTTTAAATCATATTCTTTATCTTGCCATCATAAAATTGAGTTTCTATCTTAGTCCATTTATTACAAAAGTCAGGAGCTTTCCAGTAACACTAAAAGGGTTATTTTGAACAATTCTAAGAACAATTGAATTGTAACCTTGAAAAAGAAAACTACATTTGTGGAAATATTTGTTACAGAAAACTGTGTTTTTTACTCATAGCTTTTTTTTAACTGTAACTTTATTTATAAATGTGGCTCAAATACATTTTTTTTGGCTACTTCCACATTTTCAGGTAAAATTCACATAGTAGGAAGCATAAAGACTCTTTGTCTTGGCTTTCTCCCACATGCTTGTTTATAATGAACCTTGTGATTCTAATTCTAACCTGTTCATTTCTAAAAAGTAATGCAAATTCAGGTTTTTCCTCTGTCAGCGCTGCCCCATCACCTATAAAGCCAGAAGGTATTTTCCCCATTTCTCTCAATAGGCTAACTCTCCCTTTGTGTATCCTGATGTACGGTAGTTCCCCTTCACCCGTGGTTTCACTTTCTGCAGTTTTCAGTTAACCCATGGGGTCAACTGCTATCCAAAAATATTAAATGGAAAATTCCAGAAATAAATAATTCATAAGTTTTAAATTACACTCTATTCTGAGCAGCGTGATGAAATCTTGCACTGTCCCACTCTGTCCTGGCCCAGATGCGAATCATCCCTTTGCCTAGCATATATTCATACTGTATACACTACCCACCTGTTAATCACTTGGTAGTTGTCTTGATTATCAGATCAAAAAAACATAGTATATGTAGGGGTTTGGTACCATTTGTGGTTTCAGGCATCCACTGGGGATCTTGGAACACATCCCACTCGGATGGGGGGCTGCTGTATTAGATTTTGCCTTCACTGAGAAAACTAAAAAGCAAAGACAGGAGCCACGTACAGTGGCTCATGCCTGTAGTCCCAGCTACTTGGGAGGCTGAGATAGGAAGATCCCTTGAGCCCAAAAGTTCAAGACCAGCCTGGGCAACATGGAAAACCACATCTCAAAAATAAATAGTAATAATAAAAATAAATAAATAAAAAGCAAAGATAGTCATGTGTAAAAAGTTGAAAAGTGTTTAGGCTACAGATAAGCCTAAAATCAATTTAAAAATGGAGAGTGTCAAGTTCATTCCATCAATGCTGAAAAGGATGTTAGTGTTTTAGGGAAAAGAAATTCAGTGCCGTAAACTTTTCTTTGGTATACCAATTTTAGAACTGATGGAAAAAAAAAATTAAGGCTCATAAGGAATAACATGAAAGTTTCCAGGGCTATTCATCAGCCCCTACCCCAAAATAAAAGCCATACAACTTAGCCTGGTGAACTGAGGTTTAGAACTTCAAAACTACAAATTTTTGTTTATTCCTCAAAAACCAGCGAGGACACAAACCAAACCCTTGATACTTACAATCCCCGAGGAGCGGGGGTAGTAGAGAGGATAGGTCACAAAAATAAGCACTTCTACTTTTTATTTCATACACATCTGTATTGTTGATATTTTTGTAAGCATGTATTGATTTTACAGTAAAATAAAAACTATCTTGAAGACAATCTCTGAGTAGATAATATTTAAATATACCTCCTAGCTAATCTTAACATAGATTTTTCATTAAAGCATAAAAATATTTTATGTATAGTTTTAAAAAATAGGCTTCTTAATGCTTAAGTCAGGGCTATTAGTTAAAATATTTTTTTAAAAATAAGCTTCCTACAGTAGAAGGCATAAAGTAGATGCTCAAATATAAAAATACTAAATTAATGATAATGAAGATTTATAAATTAGCCTAGGGTTATTAAGACAAGAAGAGTTTCATTCCTTACCCAACAGCGGTAATTCTGCATCAGATTTAGCCTCACAGCCTGAATACTGCCATCATAACATCCAGTATAAATCTGGAGAAAGAGAAGTTTGTAATATCAGACCAAAACAGACATACACAAAAACTACAAAACACCCTCAAAACAAGAGTTAAAAGCTACTTGTAGCAGCTATCGTCAAGAAAACACAAACCTAAGCCAAAACCATCTCCAGAGCACCAGAATGTGAGAGTATTTTCTTGACCTTCTGGTCAAGGCACTTTGAAATTGTGCTCCTTGAGAGCCACTCTTGGGACGTGGCAGAGAGCAGGAGCCGCAGGGCTCAGGGCACCCACTTATACTTAACTGGTGTAGCTCTGGTTTCCGTCGGGTGCTGTATATTAGGCACCTATATTTCATTGGAAGAAAGGGTTCTACTGGAGTTTGAAAAATATCCATTCTGGTTCAACCTCATAATTTAAAAATAAAATAAACCAAGGCTTAGCAGGGTTAAATGAGTTAGCTTCTACTTTTAGATCTGTTATAACTATGCCACTCTGGCCAAATCTCCTGACTCCACTCCAACGTTCTGCTCACATTATGTCTCTGGAAAAAGCACCACTCAACTTTTTGAAGTATCTTAAATTTACTATCTATTTAATGGTGGTATTAGACTTTTATGGTGATTATTTCAGCTATTAATACAAAATGGAATAGTCAATATTGTCCCTGGGTTAATTCTTACTGTTATGCCAAGAGATAGAAAGGTATTCAATAACGAGTCTTATTAGAAACAGGTGTCACTTTTGGAAGTGACAAGTAGTAACTTTTCAGTAGGCAGAATTTTTAGTAAACACATTCAAAGGCAAATATCTGACATGACAAATAATACTCACCATACTTTTATGGATAGTCATACACATAATCATGTCTTTGTGTCCTCCATAAACTTGCAATCGATCATGGGACTTAGGCAGAAGGAAAAACAAAAGAGAATTAAGATTATTTATACCTTATCTTTAATAAGCACAATCCCTAAAGGTCTTCGGTAAATTTAAAACTATGCCCGAGGCACTCGGGAGAAGAACTAGCAGCATTCTAACAGGAATATAATCTAATGGCAGTCTATTAAGACCCACTCCTCAAGGGGGAGCTGGTAATTAGAAATAATAAAACCAATTTCTTTAGTATCAAAGTCTCAAACTTGAAGGTGCACACGAGGAGAACTAGATAAGTTTTAAGACACTGCAGTTGCTCTGCAGAAACCACTTAAGTTTTGATGCCCATGAGCCAGACCAAATATCTCAGAGCAGTGTTTCTGCGAGCGTAGTTCATGGGCCAGCTGTTCCATAATTATCTAGAGGGCTGTGAAAATGCAGATTCCTCGGTTCTACTCCGGCCTTACTGTATCCAAAATCGATACCAAACCTAAACAGACAATCTCCCCAAATCACTGACGCAAAATAGTGGATCTAAATCCTACCTGTAATTCATAGACTCGAACAAATTTATCCAGGCAAGCAGTCACCATCACTTTTCCTAGGATATTCACCACAGTCACTGCATGATTGTGGCCTTTGTAGATCCGTACAAGCTCACCAGTCTACGTCAGAAGAGAGGTCAGAGTCACTAGGGTGACTTTCAAGATTCCTTCCTACTTAGGATTCTATAATTCTAAGAGGCATAATTCTGAGGCTTCCCGTACACACATGTAGCTGTACTAATTTGAACAGCTGACAGACTCCCACAAGCATTTGTTACATAGGATATATCCTGATGGGGACAACTTAATGTCACAGAAAGAGAAGGGCCACAATTCTATCTGTATGTATTTTATAGCCTTCTAAGTACTTTCACTTTTGTCATTTCACTGGATCTAGACAAATCCATCAGGTGGGATGATGCCTGGGTTTATAGACTAGGAACTGAGCTTCAGAGAGCTGCCTTCTATGACCTGGGAGCAATCTCAGCTGTTTTTCTTTGTTCTATTTTAACTATTAATACACATCATATCCACTTTATGCAAGTCTCAGCTGCTCAATTCATCTCAAATTTAAATAAGGCATTCAAACTAAACCTTACATAAACTTTTGAGTCCGTCCCCTATTAAAAATTTTGTTGAGGTCAGAATTTCTATGTTGTTCTTTATTATCTAAGAGTATATGCACGGGAATTATTAATCCTTTCACTAGACAAAGGGCTTGATTTAAACTGCAAGAGATCTGAGGAAACCTTCAAACTTTAACCCCCATTTTCTTCAAGATTTCTTTATGCTACCAACATAGCTTACGTGAATATTGTGGGCATGGACGGACTGGTCACTGGAGCCACTGAACACAAGGTCATTCACCACCTTAAAGCAAAACATTCAATGAGTCAGATTCTGCACAAGATTCTCAGTTTCCTCTATTACTTGTAACATATGTTGGCAAGTTCTAATTTCCATCCTATTCTGAGATAAGCACGAACTAGGTATAAAACAAGTTTCTCAAACAAATTTTCTCAGCTGAAACTTACACCCTCCCACCAAACACTCTGATGAACTGACAATGTATTACTCGGTCTGTTACCTCTCCAGAATGATTTGCCTAGAAGGGCATTAGAGTATACTGATACTCTATAATATAATACATTCTTATTGCTTCTCAAATAAAAGTACATCACTTGGTAATCCAGGCATAAAAAAAAAGTTTGTAATCTCCTTGCTCTTTTCAAGATGATGTTCTAAATAACACATTAGACAACAGGGGGAATGCCATTCAAATTGCTTCTATTTGAGACAACTCCTGTTCTCTTACACCATACTTGCCTTCATACAAAGAATGGTTTTGCTATGGCCCTCCAGAGTTCTCAGGAGCAGTCCGTTCCGTGCATCACGTACACTAATGGTACAGTCGTAAGATCCCACAACCAGCAGCTTTCGGGCACCTTCCTGAGCTGTGGCAAGGCAGCTGACTGCCCGAGGGCCATGGCATTCAAAGATCTCGAGTCGTTTGTTGTTCTGGAAAACAAGCCACAGCTATATATAAAAGCAACTCAGCTGGAAGACCTCAAAATCAACTAACCAAAATCACTACCTTGGTACAAACTTTCAATTCTATTACCTGTAGTCAAATTCTCATACCCACACCGTATCCTGAACTTCCCAACCTTTGCTATTATTTCCACTCCAACACTCTTTGCTGTGTTCATGACACCCCCCACCCCTGATCTACTGGGGCAAACCCATATTATGAACTAATTTGTAACTTGCACCCACACCATACTGATCCTTATTATAAACTGGTTCTCTTTTTATGCTTTCACTTCCCTTAAGTTAATGATCATGAAGGATCAACCTTTTTTCCAAACTCCAGTATATTTTCCATGACACAGACCCAGGAATTCTTCTGCTGTTTACTGACATCTAAAATTTGTACGATCTATTTGTCATGCTGTTCCCAAAAAGCTCTACTGTGAGCTACATTCATAGACAACTTCAATAAGAGTCTCAAGTTCTTCACCTTTTTGTTATTCTGATGTTCTTCTGACAACTGGTTCTGTCATCTCATGGTATCATTCAGTGAACTGTAGCAGACTTTATATCAGAGTGGTATGGTCACATCCTGAATCCCAAAACATTCTTTTACCTTAGATTTTAGACTTGTTTCCCTTATGCCTCCATCAGTCTTGTTAAGTCTCCCGTATCCCCAGAATCTTTAAAAGCACTTTCGGTGCATGCATAGAGTAAAAGCTCTCACAAACTAAGCAGAAAGCAGCAGCGAGGGGCGTCCAGAGCTGAGCAATGATCTCAGCCACCTGAAGTGCTGGGGGACAGATTGGAGTTCAGGACCAGATGGTTGCTAGGCCTTGGTAAACAATCCTGGCTTTCTGTCGAGACCCCAGAGGGACTACATTCTTAGAGTATGGGCAAAGCAGAAAAAGCTCAGCCCTAACCTTCAAACGTCATCTCTACACAGAGATTCTCAAATCTCTGTCTCTAGGTCCATCTTTGCCAGGGCTCCTTAACCATTTAAAGAACTTTTCCATTTGAGTTTCTTACCATCATCATGCCTCAAGTCTTGCTCCTAATTTCTATCTACCTCTGATAACATGAATGAATTTCACATAAGAGAATTAGGTAATTATCAATTTTTATCTCTCAAAATACTTCTAATTTATTCTCTTGTCCCCATTTCTATTGCCCTAATCCAATCTAATCAGGCTGATGGCACTTGTTTGCATCTAGAATGCAAAAATCTTCATTAATTACCCTTCTGTGGTGTATTCGTACCAAGTGGACCTAATAACTTGGCACTTAATTCATGTAGGTGCCAGATTCTTCCAACTTGATTTTTATGTTTCTTATAGGCAGAAAGCATGACACAGTTTATTGTATACCTTATAGCACTGTCAGCTAGCATGTACCGTATAAATGATACTGTAATTGCAAACATCCTAACATACTGTTAGAAAATGCCTAGGGGATATGGCACTACAGCTAATTGGTAACAAAACTATCAATGCCACTTCTTAGATCAGCAGTCCCCAACCTTTTTGGCACCAGGGATCGGTTTCATAGAAACCAATTTTTTTTCTGAGGAGAGTCGGGGGTAGGCAGGTGTGCAGGGAAGGTGGCGCTCAGGCAGTGATGCCAGCGATGGGGAGCGGCTATACACACGGATGAAGCTTCGTTCACCCTGTACTGGTCTGTGGCCTTAGTCTAACCTTTCACATCAGCTTCCACTACAAGACCTACTAAATGGTTTCCCTGCCTCTGCTAATACCAATTTTTTCCCAGTCTCATCAACACCACAGCGACTTTTTCTAAAATACAAATTGGATCATGGCTCTCATACTTTAAAGCCTACAAGATGAAGTTCAAATACCTTAACAAAGCACTTTGGGTCAGCAAGGACTTCCTAAACCTTATCCTGGGGCCTAGCACTTAAGAAATGCTCAACAAAGCTTTGCTCAACAAATAAATTTATCTTTGGGTTAGGGAAAGAACAAGGCCAACAAGGGTGTTAAAGCAAATTTAGCTCCCTTTACAGAATGGGTCACCCTCATGAAACCCCCAATCAGTTCCAAACCACACCAATGTCATACTCAAAGGAATTTAACTTCATTTTTGATGGTGTCATTCTTAAAATGAGATAGACTGGTTTAACCTGTGACTCATTATTTGGCCCCAAATCTTCAGGCTTGGTTTAATTTAGCAGAGTTACATTATGGTTCTGGCACATTTGAGTCTAAACAGACAGAACGGAGGATCTCGTTTCACTTACATCAGAAGGTAACAGTTTTTGAGTAGTGATTAATTGTGTTGCTTCCTCACACAAGAAAACAGGAAAATGTCTGCATGCTACGTCTTCCCATACACACTCATATTATTTTAAGAGGAATGTAGCCTTCTTTTCCCAACCACTAACCTTTATGTTGAAGGTGACCACAGTGCCATTTGCCAGTCCAGCATAGAGAATTCGCCATCTACTATGGAGGCAGAGAACCCGGTCTTCCAGCTGTAATTGCTCCACACTCTCTCGGGTCTGACAAAAGCACACAACATCTAATCAGCAGAGGAGAGTGGCAAATGAGATGCGAAAAACAATTCCTCCTGAAAGCAGAGTTATCTTTTTTTTGTTTTGTTTTGTTTTTTGAGACAGAGTCTTGCTCTGTTACCTGGGCTAGAGTGCTATGGCGTCAGCCTAGCTCACAGCAACCTCAAACTCATGGGCTCAAGCAATCCTCCTGTCTCAGCCTCCCAGAGTGCTAGGATTACAGGCGTGAGCCACCACACCCGGCCTAAAAGCAGAATTTAAAATGATTCTTTTGGGGAAGAAAATGTGGCATCCTCTATTTTGTAGGGAACTATCTTAGATCTTTTTCCTCCTTGAAATATGAGGTCAAAGACTCCCAAACTATAGGTAATAATGAAAACAAATACACATTCTAGTAATGTTATCCATGTTTCTAATTTAGAATGGAGAAATTCTTCAAAGGGCACTATGAGTTGGGTCTTAGATTCTTAAATTAAGTGGCCAAATATAAAAGATAAAGCTGCATCTGACATCTAAAAAGGAAAATTGAGATTACAGTTGCATATCTGATAAATGCATTACGTAAATATGTGCTTTTCTGCAACTGAGTCTCTATGTTCAATGGCTCCCTTCAAACTGGTGCCAGCCTAGCTGGGCCAAAATGACCCAGGAAGCTTTTTAAATACATAGAATCCCAAACTCCAACCCCAATCCCTGAGATTCTAATTCAGTAGGCTCTAGAATCTGTATTTTTAAAACTTTCCCTAGTAAGACAAATGCACACGTAGGTTTTAAGGAGCACTGTTTGATCTGACCTCCAAGAAATTTCTATGAATTTCCCAGAACTGGATTATAGTAGTAAATCTAATTACCTAAAACTGAGAATAGGGCCACTCACATATTAAATGCAAGCTTTGTTGTTTAATTATACTAAGTGACTAAAGGACCAGGTGTAGCTTTTCATGCAGGTTTGGCTACAGATGTTAAAATCAAGATGGTTATAAATGGGTAGGACGGGACAAGCTGTGGGTGTAGGATGAGAAAAGCTGTGGGCTGTCAAATCCTTTGATCTCCTTTCCTACCTTTTCTTTCATACCGAAAAAAGTCAGCCTCTTGAATTATTCAATTTCCTCCCATAAAATTACAAACACAAATGCTACAGATGAAATTGTAAAATACAAAAAAAGACAGTAAATATGCCCAAATATTAAGGTTCATGTTGCCTCCAGTTAACCCATGTGAGATCCTTTGTAACTTTACAGAGAAAATTAAACACTACACGGTAATAAAAAAGGACAAACCATTGGTACATGCACCAATATAGATGAATTACATGGGCCAGGTGCAGTAGCTCATACCTATAATCCCAACAATTTGGGAGGCCAAAACAGGAGGATCACTTGAGGCCAAGAGTTCGAGTCTAGCCTGAGCAACATGGCAAGACCTTGTTTCTACAAAAAATTTAAAAATTAGCCAGGTGTGAGGTGGCATGTACTTGTAATTCCAGCTACTCAGGAGGCTGAAGCAAGAGGATCATTTGAACCCAAGAGTTTGAGGCTGCAATGAGCTATGATTGCACCACTGTCCTCCAGCCTGGGCAACAGAGCAAGGCCCTGCTTCTAAAAAAATTTTTTTTTAATGGTTATGAAATCTTTTACATTAATGTATAGTCCTACTATGCCAAATACTATGTGTTAGAATCTTAAAAATACTGAAAAATCTTTTAAAATCTTTTACTAATTTTAAGAGTCAAAATGGCATTGTGCTTTTCTTTTAATTTGCATTTATTGGCAAGATTACTATTTTCAAAAGTTATTTGTATTTCCTCTTTTTAAGAAACCTATTTCTGGCTTGGCGTGCTGGCTCACACCTGTAATCCTAGCACTCTGGTAGGCCAAGGTTCGAGGTCAAGAGTTTGAGACCAGCCTCAGCAAGAGCAAGACCTTGTCTCTTCTAAAAATAGAAAGAAATTAACCAGGCAACAAAAACTAGAAAAAAATCAGCTGGGCGTGGTGGATGGGCATGGTGGTGCACACCTGTAGTCCCAGTTACTCAGGAGGCTGAGACAGGAGGATCGCTTGAGCCCAGGAGTTTGAGGTTGCTGGGAGCTAGGCTGATGCCATGGCACTCTAGCCAAGGCAATAGAGCAAGACTGTCTCAAAAAAAAAAAAAAAACCAAAAAACCTGTTTCTGTTTTATGCCAATGTATGTATAGAGATTTAAAGGTGCCCAGCCCTAACACAAGCATTTAAAACCATAAATTTCCCTCTCAGCAATGCTTCAGGTGCATCCCACAAATGATACGTTGCATTTTCATTTAGTTCAAGATATTTTCTAATTTCCCTTGTGATTTTTTCTTTGAACCACAGTAATTTAGAAGTATGTTATTTTGTCTTCCTATATTTGGAGATTTCCTAGATTTCTTTTCTTTTTAAATTTTTGTTTTAGAGATGGGGTCTCACTAGGTTGCTCAGGCTGGTCTTGAACTCCTGGCCTCAAGCAATCCTCCTGCCTCGGCCTTCTGAGTAGCTGGGATCACAGGCATGAACCACCCTGCCCAGCTTCTGCTATTGATTTTGTTGTTTTTTTTTTTTTAGAGACAGGGTCTCACTCTGTCACCTAGGCTGGAATGCAGTGGCAAAATCATAGCTCACTGCAGCCGTGAACTCCTATTCTCAAACAATCTTCCCACCTCACTCTCTGAAGTAGCTGGGATTACAGGTGTGCACCATCATGCCCAGCCACTAAAGTGTGCCTCTTATAAACACCACAGATTTTGATGTTACCTTGTTAATTTCTGCCTTTTAGTGCTAGTTTATTCACATTTAATTATGAAATATGGGTAGATTTAGGTCTCCAATTTGCTATTTGCTTTCTACTTTTTTCATTTTTATTCCTCTATTCTTCCTTCTACCTTGTGTAAAATATTCTTTCAGTATGCCATTTTAATTCCTCAATTGAATTTTTAAGCTCTATTTCTTTGCATTGTTCTTTCAGTGATTGCTCTAGGGCAGTCTTTCTCAAAGTGTGGTCCCCAGACCAGCAGCATCAGCATCACATAACTTGTTAGAAATGTCAATTCTTAAGCTCTTTCCCAAACCTTTTAGATCGGAAACTCTGGGAGTGAGGACCAATAACACGTGTTTTAACAAATTGTCCAGGTATCCAGATGCAAACTAAAGTTGTGAACCAGTGCTCTAGGGATTACATTTTTAAATTATAACAATCTGGTTCAAGTTAATACTGACTTATTCCCAGTAAAATATAAGAACGCATGCTAGCTTGGTTCCCAGTAAAATATAAGAACCTATACAACTCCATTCCCTCCTCTATGTTCCTGTTATCATATATATTCCATCTATATATGTCATAAACCTAATGATAGTACTATAAATTTTGATTCATAGTTATCTTTTAAAGAAATTACGAACATATTGTATATAATTTGTAATGCAATTTTCTCTCATTTCTTTCAATGCATTTAGGTTTAAAACACTCTCAGAGGAGATATCCACTTCTAATTCTGCAAGTTTAAAAATTTTAAACATTTTACTCTTCATTCTACCCAGGATTAATTTTGGCATATGATGTGAGTAATATTTGTGGAAAAGACCAAGGAAGTTACATCATTAATAGCAGGAAATGAAAAAACACTGGTGGAGAGAGACAGAAAATGTGGTTTATGTCCAAGTGTCATATCTACCTAAGGTTATACCAATGTGCTAAAATAGGTTCAGATGCAAAAATAAGAAAGTCGAATGTGTAGAATGAAGCACCTGCTGCAGTGTCTTCACTCCCCCCATAAATACATCAAAGGCGGCTCAATATTATCACTTTTGATTTCTGTGGACTCACCTACCTTAACGCTATAGCAGCGAATGGTGTGATCACTGGAACCAGTGTAAAGGGCAGCATTCTTCCCAGAAGTCTGAGTAACCAAGAGGCAGTTCACTTTGGAGGTATGGCCCTCAAAGACACCAATACATTTCCGACTCTAAAGTCAAGCACAGACCACATCACTGCTCGTGGGAAATAGAAGGATTAGACAATGTATTCCTCAACAAAAAGAAGCTACAACATTCCTTTCACTGCTGTATCCTCAGTGCCTAGAGTAGAACCTGGAACACAAAAGGTGCTCAGTAGATATTTGTTCACTGACTGCCCAGCAAATAGTCACGTGTACTGAGATACCTGCAACTGTGTGTTAGCTAAGCCATACCAAAAACACTTAGGGCAATTCACTATAAGATAGACCAGAATTTTAATCAATGCTTAGGGCAAGGCTCTACAATATATGGACCAAAGACCTAGCAAATCTAAACTGCAGCTAATTACTCAGAAAAGCCGTGCATTTGATCAGCAGCTTGTGAGAATGCTCCATGGGATTCAAAAATATGCCATGTGCTATCACAAGTCCTAGTGGTCCAAGTGTGGTTTCCTAAGGGACTATCCCAAATGTCATCTCTGTGCACATACTGAGATTTATTTGGAATGTACATATATACATACACACACATCTGGAAAGTTAGAGTTAGACCCAATCCCCTAGATCCTCATATTTCCTGGTACCATTTCCTTCTTTCAATCATTCCCATTACTCCTCATATCATTAGGCTAAGGGAACCTACATCTCTGTTGTGTATAGCAAACACATTTTCCTGGTTCATCACATAAGTTTTTAATTTTCACGGACTGCAGCAATTTTAAATACTTTCATGGTGTTTGTTCAGACAACATAATGTTCCTAAAGTTTCTTGGCTATTGTTGTTGATAAACTGAATTAGTTTGACATATATCAAATTCAAAACTCAAAAGTTCATTCTTTTGAGAATAAACATCAAATTACTCTAAGTGTGAGGTAGTAGAAAAGTATTGCCCTCCTTAATAATTTGGATTCTGTAATTATCAGGGAAAAATGCCTCCTCTAATACTTCTCCAGTATTCATTCCATCCCTCCTCTATTATGTAGCTGTTATGCAACTGACCCCATCACCAGCTCCAGGGGCAGGATCTGACTGGCCCAAGCCTATTAGTATAATCCCATCCTCCTCTGCCACCGGTGACTGTTCACAGAATAAAACACAGAACCCTTTTCTGGCAGTGGGAGGGAAGAGAAACTCCAGTGGCTCCTGACATCTACCTTGTGAGCAGAAAGGGAACCAGCTTGTAGGAAGAGGTGACATCAGAGAAGGCAGAGTAGAGAGACAAAAAGAAATTAAGTCCCCAGCGACCCTGCTAAGCTGCTGGAACAAATGCATCTAAAGTTAGTCTAAAGCCCACCCCTACCTACGGATAGCCAATAAATTCCCTTTATTGTTTAAGACAGTATGAACTAGATTGTCTAAAATCTGCAACCAAAAACATTAAAAATGTCACATCAACTTACCACCAGATTATAAACTCGGACAGTTTTATCTGCAGAACAGGTATATAATAAGTTCCCAAATATCTGAATTGCATTCACTGCAGCTTGGTGCCCCTCAAAGTTTCCTTCTGTGGGTTCATCATCATCTCCTGGCTCTGAAGATATTTCTAGAAACAAGAACAAATTTCAGAGACATGGCTACTAGAGTCTGAAAAGATACTAAAAAAAATCAAAACCATTACCCACAGTATAGTAGTCCCTGGATTAAATCAAAAGATCTCCTTAAAACTTAGTTCCCCTAGCAGAATACCACAGTTTTCCTTAAAGATCTTCACCATGAAGATTCCATAATAAGAGAAGGCAGGTTAAGCCTTTCACTTAGGAAAAAGACAGTCATAATGAGCTTTTGCATGTTACTTGGAAGGTACCAATCTCTCCCCTATACCATCTTCCTTGCTTCCAAACAGTTATTTCTTTTGAGTAAGGGATAGCAGTTTCCTCCTTTTTTTTGAGACAGAGTCTCACTCTCTTGCCTGAGCTAGAGTGCCATGGTGTCAGTCAAGCTCACAGCAACCTCAAACTCCTGGGCTCAAGCGATCCTCCTGCCTTAGTCTCCTGAGTAGCTGGGACTACAGGCACTCACCACAACACCTGGCTAATTTTTTGTTTCTATTTTTAGTTGCCTGGCTAATTTCTTTCTATTTTTAGTAGAGACAGGGTCTCGCTCTTGCTCAGGCTAGTCTCGAACTCCTGACCTCAAGCGATCCTCCCACCTCGGCCTCCCAGAGTGCTAGGATAACAGGTGTGAGCCACCGTGCCGGCCAAGCAGTTTCTTTTCAAAGCAAAAATCCCCAGAACCAGTGAAACCTTAATACTAATTAGTTGAACAGATAAGGGAGCCAGATAACAGAGATGAGAGTAAGTAACTGAAAAGGCCAGAATTTGAGGTTTTAGGGATACTGGAAGTGCTGATCAAGGCAATCCTCTGGTGACAAACCCCTCCCCTGTCTCCTATTCTATAAACATATTTAAGTAGATTTAAACCCTGGCTCCAATATTTACAGGCCTTATTTTCTTCCTGTGGTTAATTTAAATAAAACTGAACAACCAATACCTGAAGAGTTCTTTGATCCTTTTATGGAAGAGATCACAGTCTGAGTTTCTGCCACACTACAAAATAACAGCAAAAGTCTTCTTAGCATCTATATGAAAAGGACGGGTAGTAAAACTAAAAATTTCCTGACTCAAAGGGTTTTTCTAAACAATGGGCAAAGAAGTAACATAAGAGATCAGTTTTTCCACCTGAAATTTCTATATGAAGGAAAATAAAAGCAGAGTATTTACAACATAGTCAAGAGAAAGCAGAAAATCTCTACTGCCAAGGTTTCATTCTTCCATATCCATAACCCCTACTGTTTTCACTAAATTCTGATTTTTAAACAAATTCTGACTCAGAACTGAAAGTTTTATTTAAAAAAAAATATAAGATCGGTGAAAGCTGTTTTGATAGGACCAATACAAGATCCTTACCTTACAGGGATGCCATCCTTATAGCGAGTGCCAATCTCACTGGTAGAGCTTACTTCATCACAACCGGAACGAGAAGTCTCCACGGGGTTTTGCTCTGCAGAGGTCCAAATATCCTTTTTAGATGGGCTGTCTGGTTTCTCTTCTCCAGATTCAGAAGAATCAATGGCTACGACTTCTAGCTGAGGATTAGGAATTTCTAGGACTTCCAGAGACGAGTCACTATCCGGCTCATCTCTGACACTCTCTTGCTCCCGGCCAGTCCTGCTATCTTCCCAAGTGGAGGTTGTTACTTTCCCCCCTTTAGTTAACTTTCCAATTTTTACTTTCCTTACAGGTTTAGCAGTGAATACATCCTGTTCAGTGTCACTATTCTCAGGAACATGGGCAGCCCGCAGAGTTTTCTTCTTCCGAAGTTTCTTTTTTTTCTTATTTCCCCTAGTTTCAGCTGAAGTCAGAGTGGATTCTGCCTGTTGCTCAGGCTGGTCAGGTGGAGAGTGGGGTTCCTTCTCCAAAGGGGTTTCCGAAGCAAAAGATAACCTTAGGAAAGAACTAGTACAGGCTTCAGACCCACTGTTGACTCTGGTTGGCTTTTCACCTTCTTTATTTATGCTAGGAAGACCAGTCGGTTGGGATGAGGGAGAGTTTTCTCTGTTTCTGGTATTCCCTTGCTCCACAGAAAACTTCAGTTCTTGGCTAGGCTCATGGAAACTTCCTGTTAGCTCTGATAAGGACAATGTAGCACTGAAGACTGGATAAACTGGACAACTGTCACTGATCTCTCCTGAATTGAGAAGAATAACATTATTGCATCTTCTTTTGTGTTTGCTGTTTATACTTGCAAACTGCAAATTATTTATCACTGATTAAGACTCTACTAAATGTTTCAATGATGCGTTCACAAAACCACAACTGTTACAGCTATTATCCCACCCTGCAGTTTCCCATACCCTACACACATTCCTGTTACAGCACTTACTCCCCTTTGCCTTGTATTAATCTCACAGATAACATGCAACAAAAGCTCCTTGTCAGCAGGAACTGTGTCTATCAATCTTTTTTCTTATTTTAAATGTCCACATATTTAACAGTATGTTTTATTCTTAGCAGACACTTACATATCTACTTAGGTGATGTGCTTTTATTTCTTATAAGTTTTCACTTTACATTTTGCCCACACTCATCCAATTTAGATACACATTAGTAGTTAAAAAGTCAGCTGACTTAACTAAGTCAAAGGAAATGGACCTTTTTATCTCACATCTAGGTATTTAAACTGATGAAATAATCACACAAGAACTCAAAGATGTATACAATGTAGTGTTGTACAAAATATGAAAAAAGTGGGAAAAACTAAATATTCAAAAAAGGTTTATTATATATTGTACATCCAGATTATGCAACTATTCACATATTATGCAACTAGCAAAATAAAATATTTTAGATGAATTATGTTTATGACACAGGAAAATGATCATGATATATTAAATGAAAAAGTCAGGTTATAATAGACTATGATTTCTCCGTTGTACAAAGTCTACAAGTAAACATACAACACTTAATGATTTAAGAAAGACTGAAACAATATACAGGGTGTCCAAAAAATTGCCATACACAGGGAAAATGGGAAATTGTAGCTAAATGCTAACCAGATGTTATTTCATAAAAACAGGAAAAACCTTGGCCATTTCTGAAAACCACCCAAGTTCCTATTACATGATTTCAAACCCCAGAGCCGTCTGCCTTCCATCATTTGATACCTGTCTCTCAGGCTTATATTAATCCTGACTTGTATTTGAGATGATAAAGACAGTTAAGCACTAAGAAATTCAGAGGACATACCTCATCTAGAAAATTGGCTGAACAACTTTAACCCCATTTATCTCACAAAACCAGATAAATTCTGCACCTATCCTAAATAAATGGAACCTTTTAGGTGTTAATACAAAGTCAACTCAGTAATTCTAAATCAGGGAAAATTAGAGAAAAATTAGAAATATTTAAATTTCCATATTATAAAATATAATAAAATAATATTATGAAATAATCCTCCTGTCTGAAGGGAATTTCTATGAAAAATTAATTATAATTACGTTAGCTTTAATGGGCAAGTATGGCTTTACATCACAGATATAAAACTGCCCTAGTCCCACTACAGGATGCTCTTAACCCAGAGGAAAGCTTACATACTATTAGCTTGCAGTAATTCCTTGGACACATTGCAAGCAGAGCCTTGTGACACAGCATTCACATTCTCATCTTGTTCGGGAGACATGGGCTCTTGTTTAATCTGAACTGATGAGTCTGGAGCAGGGGCACTGCCATGGGCTTGGAAAGTAGGAGATGTGGTTACTTGAAGAGAGGCTCCAGTGGTTAATGGAGACACGTGGGAAGATGGAGGCTCCAGAAAAACGGGGAAAAAGGGAGTAGGCAGCAGTGTGACCTCAGCAGATGTTTGAGATCTACTGTTCCTTTGTTCTTGTGTGAGGCTACAGGGAACTTGGTCTGGGTGCTCAGAAGGTTCATATGTTTCTAGAATGAGAAACATACATACATACAAATGGAAAAATGTTATCTGAAAAGTCACTTGTTTCTGACCCAACCTGTAGTTTTAAAGATTAGAAGAGGATTTTAAATTAGGATATTTTCTCATAACACTTCAAAACAGAATGTCATATAACCTATACAACCACCAAGGGTACACACCACTGCAACATTCTAATTTGTCAAATTTTAACTGACTTATCTAAAGTTATGTAGGTTACTAATGGAAGAGTAAAGATTTGAACCCAGGTCTTTTGATTCCTAACCCAAAGCTCTTTCTATTAACATACTGTTTCCATTGCTAAGAATCTTTGGGATGTACAGTCCATAGCCCTTTCTATAGAAGTATGAAACCAATGAGACATGAGAGAAATCATACGACCTTTCCATGACTACTTTTCATTCCCCTCTAAAGAGAACAAAAAAGTAACAAGCTATAGAGGGCCCAAACCATCAGATGCCCTCTGAATACCTTGTAGTCCCTGTAGAATCTGAATTCTATGGGTCCTCAGTGCACTCATCTCCATAGTTATCTAAAAATAAAGTATTTTGTTAAGCATTTTGAAATCCAACTTGTAGGGTCCCCCCGCAATTCCTCCCGCTTTCTTTCTGTGTCTTGACCGAAAAATCACAGAGCACCTTTACTGCTCTATGACTCAGCCAACTGGAGGTTTTTCCCAGAAGATCTGAACCCAAACCAAGGCCTCGATCATTCCAAGGCACTGATAAAGGTATCGAGGTTTTTGCCCAAAACACTGAAAGAAAGTAGCCCTAGGCCCTAATCTAAATTCCTTCATAAAAACTCCACATCCTGACCCCCTTGCTGTGGACACACCTAGAGAGAACTCCCCTTTCTCACTGTCCACTGCAGCCCACTCTGCTGCTGCAGCCGTTCTGTAAATGCGTTCCTCTAATAAATGCTTTGGACTGATCACCCTGGCATTTAGTGCTTCTTCTTTGGAATCCTGACCAGCCCCATCTCAGGATGGTTTGGGGCACTCCCTTGTGGGAACTTTCCTGCTGCTGCTTTTGGGGCAACTCCAGTCACAGGGTTCAAACTTCAGAGATGATCTATTTTCACTAAACCTTCCACATGCCGTTACCTGCTGCTTGAGCATAAGTAGCCTTTGAACTTCAACATAAGCTGTCTGGAGTGCTGCACGGGCTTGCAGAAGATTGTTATCCATGCACTGCAATGACTTACTTAGTTCTTCTTCCCTCAAAGAAATATTCAGCAGCTGGTCAACCTGAGAACGTTCTGCCGAAAGAAACCATAAGGAGGTTCAATTTAATTCTGGAGACTTCCTTTAAGAACACAGCTCCTCAGAATACTGAACTACACCAATTATTTTGGACAAGCCTTAATTTTCTTCTCAACAGGTCACTGGAGACTCATCAGATCTCACAAAACATGAAGTCAAACCCGATGATGCTAGAAACCAAAAGAATTGGTAAGATGGAGGTGTCTCACAGGTTCCAGTGCACCGTCACATCATACCATCTTGCCTAATCATCATCTTCCACTACGAACTTTCCAGGTAAAATCTCTGTCCTATGCAAATCAGTTGTTCTAGGTTTCATTTCCCACTCTTCCTTTACCTACCACCCTCTTCACCCAGGGCTTTTGCTTAGGTTGGGCCTCAGACCTATACTGTTTGCACTCTCCTCCCAATCTGTATTTTTCTAATCTGTTAGCTTAAAATAGTTCTTCTAATAGGCTTCCTGAAGAAAACATAGCTTCGAAATAGTACACTTAACTTACTTTAAATAAAATGTTCTACCTCGTGTATTTATCATCATTATGTTTGTCTCTTTCCCATTCAATATGCCAAGACCTCTCCCCTACAGACCCACAAATCCAACTATCAACTAGGATATCCTCTACCAAGGTCATTTAAATCAAAGGTTCCATAAGGGAACTCATCATCTTTCTCTACCCTCAACTTGCTCCTTTCATGGAGTTTTCCAGCTCTACAAATGACCATCATCCAGCTGGTCTCCCTAGCCAGAAACTGGGGTCGTCCTTGACTTCTCCCTTATCCAACACCTCCACTCACCCATGGTTCATCAATCACTTCCTGCACTAGCCCTTATACCAGAATTGGGCTAGAGGCAATGAAAAGCAAGAGTCACAGAAATGTACTGGTGAGAGAGCAATGCTAATAATCTCTCCTTAATTAACTTTAGAAAATCAACCAAGATGCCTCAAAAACACAAAATGAGAGAAATAGCTATAAATGGCCATGAGAGACAACATTTTACTAAATGGCCTGTTCCTTTACATCCCATTGATGAGGCTCAATGAAACTTTCTGGCTTTATATTGTCCAAGAGATATATTAGCTTTAGCTTACAGGTCTATGTGGTATCATATATTTCTTCCATAGTTGTAACTGGGTGTAGTAGGAAATCAATTTTCTCTGCCCTTAAGCAAGACAATAATGTTAAAAAATAATAAATGGATGATTACTGTTTGATAACCACAAGCTATGCTCTGTGTGTTGTAAAAAAGCTGGCGGGGCACAGTGGCTCACGCCTATAATCCCAGAACTTTGGGAGGCCCGAGCAGGAGGATCACTTGAGGCCAGGAGTTTGAGGCTGCAATAAGCTATGATGGCACCATTGCACTCCACTCTGACTGACAGAGCAAGACCTTGTCTCCAAAAAAAAAAATTGTCGTAAAAAACTTGAATTGATATAAGAACAACTTCTTTCTACCAGAGTATTCTGCACCATACCTTTCTTTCCTTTAATTTTCCTTCTTTTGTTTTTTCTCTCAAGACTTGGGAGTTCAGGAGAAGATCCATCCTTAGGGGATAAAGAAAACTGAGTATTAAATATAAATAGGTAAAGGCCATTATCTAAGAGGGGAAAAAGGAATCAATTCTAAAATAGTCATAATATTGTTCTTCACTATTGCTACCATCTCCAACAAGACAGTAGGAGTCTAATACACATAGTATAAGCTCAAATTTTAGTTGAATGAATGTATCTGACAAAAAAAGGGGGAAAAAAAGGAATCCAAAGTCAAGTCCTTTCCTAGCAGTGGTAAAGCCCATAGAGCTGAGGCAAAGCATTCTACCTTGGTGAAGTAGGGCACAGGTAGAAGTATGGACAAAGCCAGTAATATATACACCTGACTTCATTTTGGCATAGTACTACTTTAAATTTCAGCAAGTAAAACCTTTACAACAAAAAGCTAAACAGTCTATGAGACAAGCTCCAAGATTAATTAGCTTAGTCATAGGACAATCTCTCAGCTTTTAAGTGTACTTCAAATCATCCAACAATAACCACTACATAGTGTCTAGCTCAAAGGAGCAGAGCTGGAATTTGAAGTAGGTCTATAACCTATGCCCTTATCTATTGTTTATAGCCTTAGTATTAAAGGAAAGAGCCCATTTTCTCACGGTGCCAGACACCAGACTATATCATCACCCACAACTCTTTCTTTTCAAAAAGGAATCTTGAGAGGGTTAAGCAATATTAGCAAAAGAAATGCCAGAAAAGCAGAAGTGGTATCAGTGAAAGAAAAGATTCTTGAAGGCCAGGCTGGGTAACTGAAGGACGAAAGATAGAGTAACACAGACTAAAAATATTTCTATACTATGCTCATATATATGCACTCTAGTAGTATTAAAACAACCTAGTGTTAAGCCCAGCATTTCTAGATCCAATAATCATACATGCCCTACAAATCAACAGCAGAATGCTTCTTCATTAGCAGTATAGAACGCACCTATCAAAACAGATTAAGTTACAGCTGAAGATGTGACTTATCCTTGGTCAGGTGATACAAAGAATCATTAGCTTGGAGACTAATTTTAGAGATGACTTCATATTTTCCTGGTACTGTACGTTCGAATTAGATTACATCTAATTCAGTAGAATTACTCAGTGAAAGAAACAAGTTTGATGAAAGTAAGAGCCTTCCGATTCTTCTATTCCAGAGTTGAGAACCACAATCCCAGATACTCAAGAAAAGTTAAACACGGAAACCTTTCTTATAAACAACCAAGTTGCCACATGGGATATTCGACAAAAATCACAGGGAATCATACTCACTCCAGTGGCTCTTCGTTTCTTTCTAATACTTTGGCCATCATTTTGTTCAGCACCAGAGGTACAGCTACTATCTGTGGCTGCATCCCCTAAACTGGAGATTGCAAGGGCTGAGGATGCATTTGAAGATAGAGAGGTTCCTTCTCCATTACTCTCCTGGGCATTCTGATTGTCTGAAGGTGGTGAAGTCCTCTCCCGGTTCAGGTCTTTTGCTGAATGCATCAAAGGTATCATACAGTCAGAGGGTAACTGTGTACTGTGTCGCCTTCGGGTAGCAACATTTTCAGCCCTTTCACCTGTTCTGAGGGAGGCAGCCAGAGGTGTCACTTCCTGTTTAAGGTGCATGGCAGCTTTTTGATTCTGTGCAGCCCTCAATGAGTTACTAGGTGAAACTAGATGCTGGGGTTCATTTTCTTTGCCTGTGCCCTCCTCACTGAAGAAGCTATACACAGAGGGAGCCCTATCCATGATCACGCTGCTCTCAGAAAGGCTTCGCTTTCTTGCCAATCCAGAGGATGAGGAAATGGAAACACCTTCCCATTGGAATCCTTCTAAGTTGGACAGATCAGGCTCCCCATCCAAATCCAAGACTTCTTGTTCATTCTGAACCAGAGGCACCATTTCTATGCCAAACCTTAAGCAAGAAAGAAAACACAAAAGCATACATGACACATGGTTGGGAGGGGGTGCCATTTTAATGTGCCAGGCTCTGTCCACCACTGAGGTTCCTGTCCTCAAGGAGCTCACAGTCTAACAAGTGATCCAGATATTAAAGTAAATATGTTATAATGTGATAAGTACTACATTAGAGACTTTATATACAGCTATGAAAATACATTGGAGGGAATAAAAATTGAGGGTTTATTTCATATGGAGCTCTAAATCTATAATAAATACAGTACGTAACTTTTAAAAGCAAACAAACCAAAACAAACAAAAACTTCTATCAAGCACTTACAAATGCCAGGCACTATGCTAAGAGCTTCTGTTGAGCACTTACAAATGCTAGGCACTTATAATTTCAAGTACTACTCACAAGGTGTGAGAAAGGAAAAGGGGGCAAAATAAATCCATTATTTCAATGAGGACAGAAATGTCCCCTAAGCCTGGAGGCCCGTATCTTACAATGCAGCAGAACCGTGATGCTCAAGTAGCAAACCTATGTTGAACACTGCTTTACCATTCGAAAAGTCTAGTATCTCAACGTAAGATGAGTAGCCAAAACATTAGAAAAGTGTTTAAGAGAAAGCATTTTGTGGTAACTATTCACAAGTTCTAAGTAAAAGGTAATGAGAAGTTATACTTAAGAGTTGTACTAGTCCTTCCAAAATTAAGATCTAGAAAAAGACACAGATTTATAGACATACTTTTTTTATGCAGTCACTTTCTGGCCTCTATAAACCAAAGTGGTGGATTTCTGTTAATTTTTTTTTATGTCCCTGTCTGTTTCTCAAATAGGTGTGCTTCCATTTTAACCTGCATTTTCTACTAGGAATAACTTGATTCCATCTGTCACAGAGTAGTAGTCACTCTTTGATATTAAATCAGACATCTACAATGGATATTTTTGGCAAACATTTAATTAAATGGAACAGGTAGAATTCTCTTGACCAGGGTCAAAGGGTAACTTTTAAAGAAAGCAAAAAAAACCAGATACTGAAAAAAGGCACACACCTGGGTAAGCCTTTGCCCAGCTCTTGCTTTTTCTTGGTTACTTGCTGAATGACTTGTTCCCAGTTGACATTTCTCCGAGAAGCATTTAGAATCTGTCGTAGGGTTGGCTTGAGCCCAGATTCCTTCTCTGTCTCGCTCTTTCGATGACCGCTAATATTGCGGATGCGACGAGCACTATTGAGGTTTGGTTCTGGGAGGTGTGCTCCAGTTTTGCTCTTCAAACTAATGTGCCGCGTTAGATCTCTCTGGAGTGAGGCAGGAAAGCCAAGTTTACTCAGTTCAGGCAGGAGAGAGCCTGAGGGCTGACTGGTATCGCTTTTTTGAAGCTCTGCATCCAAGCTAGTACTCTCGAAGCCGTCTGTTTCATAAGTTACATGAGATTTACCAGAGTCACTAACCTGTGCATCTTCTAGAGAGGTTTTCAAGTCTAGCAGTAAGCTGGGTTGGGCACTGGATGCAGATGTCATTTGTAACTCAGACTCTTTCTGGTGAGCTGTGGAATTACATGGGGAAATGGATAGTTTTCTTGATGTTTTCAGGATTTGGTCATCTCCCTCTTTCTCATCGGCAGTACGAGTGCTGCAGGATAAAACTTCTGTAGTTGCAGAACCCAGGGTTCCAATTTTTGTTCCATGTTCTTCGGTGTCAGATGTCTCTCCATCACTTTCATCTTCTAATGCATGTACTTGAAATTTAATTTTCAAAGATCCTTTTTCAGATTCTTCCACATTCCTACTTGCTTTTGCATAGTTCCTGGTCCTTTTACAAGTGTTAAGAAGTGGATTTTGCAATGACTCATGACACTGTAGCACCTCTTTGGCTTTTCGTAACGTATCATTTAAACTATCATCAGATTCCTTTTGAGCGCCAAATGTACTTTTATTGCCTTTTAGAACACGAGGACATGAACTTCGCAATTTGGATATGTAAGAAGAACCATGGTTATCTTCCACAGTGAGTTTGTTCAAGGGATCTGAATGTTCTCCAAGGAAAAAAGAATTCGTTTTGGTGTTTTTTGAGGGATTCTTTGAATCTTGCTTTTGAGGAAATGATTTAGTGGCTGGAACCGGAAGGAGTGGGGATTTCAGTGACGGCATCCTAGCTGAGTTATGCTCTTGTTCAGGTTTCTCTGTAATGGGGAAATCTCTCACCACCTCATAGGAAGCAGCGCAGTCAGAAGTGGCTTTGTGATTTAGAGATCCAGGATGTATTTCTTTTTGTGCTTTGAGTGTTCGGGAATTGTTTGTCTCATCAGTTTGAGGTTCTTGTGTTCCTGGTGTTATCAAGCTAAAATCAAAGAAAGGCTTATCTGTCATTTCTGACTTGTTACCAGTGACTTCTTTTAATCCTGATTGTAAATCCAGAGTCTTCTGGGAAGGGTACGGAGTCCAGCGTCGGGGCTTTTCCCTTGCCATATTGCCATTCTTTCCACTAACTTTGGAAGCTACAGTGTCTGTCTGTTTAGTGCTTTGGCTTTCCGGCTGCTCAAAATTAAAGTCAAGTAAACCTTCTGAAGGAAATTTATCACTTGTAAATCCTTCAGAAGGACCTCTACATGTGGCAACTGTACCAACTTTGTCATTTTCTTTCCGCTGCCAATTATATCTCTGTTGATTGTATTTGCTTGACTTTTTCTTGTTCCATAGCATAGTCATGTCTTCCATTTGACAGTTAGAATTTCTGTTTCTGCCTGGTTGAAATTTGTCTCCAGGGCCACTGTAATTCCAACTATTTGTACTACGTACACTGGATTTCCAGTTTCCGTTATTGTTGTTCATATGCCAACTGGAAAAGCCACCTGTTCCTTCAGAATGCCAACTGGAATTCCTTCCTGTACCATTATGATTCCAATCTACCATTCCACCATTTGAATGCCAACCACCTCCAGAATTACTATGGTTGTGAAACCAAGAGGAGGAGCCTCCTGCAACACCCTTATGCCACCCAGAACATCCTCTTAGTCCACCACTACTCCTCAAAGAATGCGGAAAGCTGTTTTTCCTAGTATTATTAAAGCCATCTTTCTCCCATTTCCAATCCCGCTGTGGAGGTCCACGATGATGCCATGCTGGCTGACTGTAATTCTCTCTGTCTTGGTAAGGAATTCGGTCTTCTCGTCTCCATTGGGGTCGCCTGTCATCGGAGTTTATTTCTTGGCTGCTACTGGAAGGTTCATTTTGTCTGGAAGAAAAACAGTTTTTCATTAGTGAATTAAAGGAATTCTTATGCTTCCTTTAAAGGCATAACCCACCAAACAGCCCCTCTACTTCTTTTCTTTTCTTTTTTTTTTTTTTAAGAGATAGGGTCTCACTCTGTCACCCAAGCTGAAGTGCAGTGGCAAGATCATAGCTCACTGCAGCCTCGAACTCCTGGGTTCAAGTAAAACTCCCACCTCAGCCTCCTGAGTAGCTAGGACTACAGGCACATGCCACCATGCCTGGCTAATATTTCTATTTTTTGCAGACATAGGGCCTCCTTGTGACTCCTGGCCTCAAATGATCCTCCCCACCTTCGCCTCCCAAAGTGTTAGGATTACAGGCATGAGCCACGAAGCCTGGTCCTATTTTTATTTCTAATAGTGGTTGCTTTCATATCTTTAAATGCTACACTTAAACTTATATTTCTCAATTTGCTAAAAATTAAACAATATCTTATTTCCCCTATCACTCAGAAATATTAAAAATTTGACACATTTATATTTTCCTCCCCCTGGGTGGCCTGCTCTCCTTGCTTTCCCTGAGGGGCACTGGGGGCTGCGGTTGGGAGAGAAGGCCTGGCCACAAAAAAATTAAAAACATATATATGTATTATTTTTCCTCCCTTTCTTGGCATGTTCTGGGATTTTGTCCCTATCATCCAATTATTATTTTTATAATATACAGCTTTTTCAAAATAAGGACAATTTATATACGTGTGTGTGTATAATTTTTTTTTTTTTTTTTTTTACAGGGTCTTGCTCTGTTTCCTGGGGTAGAGTGCAGTGGCATCATCAGAGCTCACTGCAACCTCAAACTTCTAGGCTCAAGCAGTCCTCCTGCCTCAGCCTCCTGAGTAGCTGGGACTACAGGCATGTGCCACCATGCCCGGCTAATTTTTAAAAATGTTTTGTTTCTGACACTTGCTCCTGTTCTCATGGGAAAAAAGGAAAAGAAAGAAAAGAAAAAAGAATGTTTTGTAGAGATGGGGGTCTCACTATGTTGCTCAGGCTTGAAACTCTTGGCCTTAAGTGATCCTCCCGCCTCATCCTCCCAAAATGCTAGGATTACAGGTGTGAGCCACCACACCTGGCCAGAGCAATTATATTTTGTAGCTATGGTTAGTTATCATAGCTAATACAATTTTATGTTCAGCTCCCTTTAATACTATAATTTTTCCAGTTGTAGGTTATTTCTGAAAAATTCAGTTTCTTAACCTATTTTACATGATGAGATTATACTTTACATGGTTACTTTCATTAATAAACCCTTTATCAAGCACTAATTCAATGATTGTTAGTGGTACAAGAAAACTTTAATGTATAGTTCCTGTTAATGAAGGGCTTAGAACACAGCTGAGGAAATAAGGTCACGAACAGCAGTAAAATGGCACATATCAAGTAAGTAGCACCCACAGTAAGTACTACAAGGAGCTCCACGAACTGGAGGTTTTTATAAAGAAGCTACAGCTGTTTGAACTATTCGTGTTACACACAGAGTCCAAAGAAATGTAAATTTAAGTAAACTTCACAGCTATAGGTGTGAAAACCACTTCCTCTACAAACTGCCTATGGTGTGCCTGGTATGATGCATGTGGTAGGTGCTCAAAATATTGAGTAAGAGTAGCTAAAATTTACTGAGTATCTACTGTTCAGGTATTCAATGCTAAGCACTTTATATAGATTATCTCACTTAATTTTCACAATCCTGAGGCAAGTTGTCTTTTTTTTATTAGCCATTCAAATTTAGCAGGGATGGGGGGGTATTGTGCAAATATTATTATTCCTACTTCTTAGATGAGGAATCAGAGGATTAGAGAGGTTAAGTAACTTGCCTAGAATGAGACAGCCAGAAAGTGGTAGAGCAGAGATTTAAACCTTGGTGGTCTGACTCGAGTCTATATTCCTAACCACTACGCCTTGATAGAATGCAAATCCCAAAACAAAGTTTCTGCAGTTGGGTTCCTTCCTCTGAACTTGACCTAAATCTTAAACTCAGTATTTGCTTTAAAAGCTTTTAATGTCTATAATATTTTGTACACAAATTGGAAGTTCTTCCTTTTTCACAAGATGGAATTAAAAGTTAATTTACCTAAAAGTTCAAACATCCACTCACATTATAAAAATGACAATAATTTCTAAACAGGAGACTCCAAATTCCCAAGTAACAAGTGTTAGTACATAAACTAGCAGAATTTTTTTTTTGGTGACAGGATCTTGCGCTGTCACCCAGGCTAGAGTGCAGTGGCATCATGATAGCTCACTGCAACCTCAAACTCCTGGGCTCAAGTGATCCTCCTGCCTCAGCCTCCCATGTAGCTGGGACTACAGGCATGCACTACTATACCTGGCTATTTTTTCTTTTTTTTTGGTAGAGATGGGGTCTTGCTATGTTACTCAAGCTGGTCTCGAACTCCTGGCTTCCAGTGATCCTCCCACCTTGGCCTCCCAAAGTGCTAGGATTATAGGCATGAGCCACCCTGGCCAGAATTTTTAAAAGTTTACTATGGATCTTTTATT